ATGGATCCGGGATGCTATACCAAGGATCTTGATCTTCGGTATACTGGTACAAAGGGGGAAAAGCGGGGTAAGACGATAGTGTATCATTTGTAGTTTCGATTTCCCCCAAAACATTAAGCGTTTGTGCTATATTATGTAGGAGCTTCATATGCGGCTCCTTGAAGCTCTTAATTCGCCTTCCACTGCGGTTATTGCTATGCTACTAGTGTTATTTTATGGTGCTTAACTCTGTCTGCACCCAGCATCAAGCTGTCTTAGATAAAAATCACGCTTTACTTCTGACTATAAGGTGGGATGAGACGGCCACTATCACCTTAAAACTGGACTGAACGGCCTAAACATGTCCACATGAAACTTTCAGAACAATCGGGTTCCCCAAATTGACATCTTGTGTCGATAGAAAAATTTAATACACACCATAGGTCGGCTGGAAATGACGTCAAAGTGACGTCATGTTCGATTTTGATAAAACACGGTTGTGCGATAACCACTCTCACGATGACCTCGTTTCGACCTGAAACATATCGAGTACAGGTTCAGAAGGTACACACAATTTACCCTCGCACTTTTTTTATGGGTGCATGTAAGACAAAAACTGAGATGGTGGTGACTTGTTCAGCGGTGGTCAGAGTCCCAGGTGCCAAATTGTTGATAATTTGTAGTTTGACCTGACCTTTGACCTAATCATTGACCATGAGGTCAACAAAATTAGGTTTCGCTCACTTTTTTTTTTTGGGGGGGGGGGCTTTCACGATCAAATGCCGTTAAAGTTGTGCAAAAATCAGATCAGTACCTATTGTAGGAAAAAGGTACAAGGGGCTCCGTAAAGCCAAAGGAACTCAGAGGGTAGACTTAATTTGGGGCGGCGTTACGTGCCACCGTTTTTGTGCTATCTGCGAACAGGCGCGCACACAGGATTTTTGAATGGGGGGGGGGGCACGACCTTCGAACTGGGCCCCCATGCCGAAGGGCCCCCCCCCCCCCCCAAAAAAAAAAATACGGCCCACGGGGCTATATTTCGGTTGGTTTAAGCTTGAGCAATTGGTTTGTCAATGCATGGTAGGTAAAACAATTATTTCGGTACCAGCTTAATTTTCAAAACATATATATTTTTACGCTAGCATGTTTTTTTAGCATGTGTTTTTTTTTCGCGGACTCCGGGCCCGCGAGTCACCCGGTGGCCCGGGGTCAGCTCAGGCAAGGATGTATCCAGGACCTTTCGATGGGAGGAGGAAGGCACGGTGGGTCCAGTCTCACTGGCAGACGGGTCTCTTTAAAACGGTCTTTGCATGAGAAAATGTGGAAAATCGGCAAGCAAAAGTATCATTTATGCCCGAGGAGTGTGCCTAATGTACACTAATGCCTAATTTACATGGTATTTTACGAGCGAGCGAAGCGAGCGAGCTCCTCAGAGTCACCGGTGTGTGGCGCGCTCAGAGGTGCCAGTGGAAGGCCGTCAGATGCGCTGGTGTTGGGTCCTCACAGGCGCCGTTGCGGGGTCTTAGGGCTTAGAGACACTGGTGGGGCCATCATTGGCATATATGTGTGTGGCCCTGCAAAATGGCCTGCAAGTGGAAAGTGGCCCGTCATAGGCTGGCAAGGACACTCGGAGGCTGGTAAGAGGCCCTCAGAGTCACTGGTACGTGGCCCTAAGAGGCGTCGGTGTGGGGACTCTCAGAGCCGCCGATGTAGGCCCTTAAGGTGCGCTGGTGGGGGTCCCTTGGAGGTGGGGCGAGGGGCCTCGCAGTTGCCGTTGTGGGTGCCTTTAGAAACACTGGTGTGGACCGTGTGTCTATCACAGACGGATGTGGAGCCATAGCAGCCAATCCCTCGTTGGCCGTTACTAGGGCCCTGAGCGGCCGGCGAGGTCTCTCAGAAACCGGCATTGGGCCTTTATGAAGATAATTGTGGCTACATAGGAGCCAATAACGTGCCCCCACAAGCCCTGTGGTGTCCTTCCGAGTTGAAGTGCGGCCAGCGCGAACCCTCTGCTACCAACTGGCGCCGCATGGCCCCTCGGTTTTGAAGGAACCCTAAACCCGAGAACGGGCACGTACCCCCTCGCTCCCTTGCTATGTCACTGAATCCAAGTGATTAGGGGCCCTTTAGGTAATCAGGGGCGTTTCAGATGACCAGGGGTTTTCAATTGATCAGGGGCCCACCAGGTAACCATGGGGCCCCTCTGGTAACCAGGCGTTAAGTAACGAGGAACCCCATCAATAACCAGGGCCCCTCAGTAAACGGGGGCCACTCAGGTAAGTGTAGGAGTCCCGCAGAAGGGCCGGCAAGGTTTCTCAGGTCCGAATTTTTGACAAGGCTCTTATTGACTCAGGTGCGAGCCCTTTGCCATCAGCAGGGGGCCCTTTAAAGCCTTTTGAGGGCCGTTTAACGTCTCTTGAGTTCCCATTGAGGCCTTCTAAGGGCCCTTTGAGCAGTCGAGGGGCCTTTGAGGCCTTTTGAGGGCCTCTTGACGTCAGCTGAGGACCGTTGGACGCCAGCTGAGGATCGTGTTTTTGGGCCTTCTGATGGCCATTAGACGCCAATGGATGACCCTCTGACACCAACTGGGGCCCTCTGACACCAGCTAAGGGCACTTTAAGTTTGACGCTAGCTCAGGGCCCTCTGGCATTAGCTGGGGGGCCCTCTGACGCTAGCTCAAGGCCCTTTGACGCTCTTTAAGACCTTCTGAGGGTCCTTGAGGTCTTTTAAGGGCCCCTTGAGATTTTCTAAGGGCCCCTTGAGGCTTTTTGAGGGCCGCTTGACGCCAGCTGAGGACCGTTTGAGACCTTCTGATGGCCATTTGGCGCCAGCTGGGGGCCATCTGGCACCAGCTGGGGGCCCTCTGTCACCAGCAAAGGACTCTTTAGAGCCTTCGGAGAGCCGTTCGACGCAAGGGCATGGCCCTCTGACGCCAGCTCAGGGACCTTTGACACCCTTTAAGGCCTTCTGACGTCCGTTTGACGTTAGCTGAGGGCCCTTTGAGGCTATCTGAGGGCCCTTAAGGCCATCTGAGAGTCCTTTGAGGTCATCTGAGGGCTCCTTAAGGCCATCTGAGGGCCCTTTGACACCATTTAAGGGCCCTTTGACACCAGATGAGGGTCCTATGACGCTAAGTGAGGGCCCTTCGAGGCCATCTGAGGGCCTTTTGAGACCATCTGAGGGCCCTTTAAGGCCATTTGAGGGCCCTTTGTACACGGTCTTCGGTGGTCTAAGGATTAGTTAGAGGCCCATTTGAGGCGGCCTTCGGCCGCCTCAAATGGGCCCCTTCCTTCGAGTTGGGCCCCCCAACTCGAATGGGGGGGGGCACGGGCCCGTGTGCCCCCCCCCTTGTGTGCGCCCTTGTCTGCGAAACACCTTGGGGAGAGGGATTGGATCAAACCCCCCTGGCCCTGCGAGGGCTAAGAGGATACCGGGCTGTGCAAGTGTGTAGTGGTCGGCCTAGGATTGGTGACGCTTTACAGCCAGTTCACTTCCCGGGCACAGATGGCAGCACCGCCGTGCGCTCTGACATTTGTGCGATAGGGCCTTGACCGTACAGCAACGCCGACGTATTAGTTATTACAAATGAAAGTGAACTCGCATGGCTTGCAGCCAAACCCCAGAAGCTAACCAAACAAAAACCAGTTATTTGTCAACCAGCTACAAGCAAATGCAATGGTGCATAGGGTAAGGTGCCTAATTAGCGACCCTTTCCGATTTGCGACCTACCTCCCTACAGAAAAACTGGCAGGAGAAAACGGGGTAAAAACATCGTCAAAAGGTCAGCCATACTTTGGTTATCAAGTTAAATTATTTTCCGGTTGTCGATGTTTCTGTTGGGACGTTTGAGGTGAGTTTAAATAAAAATGACGAGTTTCTTATCCAAAACGTGTGTGTTTGGGTCCTCTCTGATGAAAAGCGATGCACATTAGGATGATGCACCTTTTTTATTCTGAATCGATAGGTATTCTTTTTTTAATTGATTGCCGTTTTCCCATCGTGAGTCGCTCAACTGTGCACAGCATGGCGGTTAAAAATGTGTCGCAACTCATATTTCCTATTTGCGCCTGACACGGTCGCAAATAGCTCAAGAAGGGAAAGAAAGGGGAAAAGAGAGAAATGAAAATGAGGTGTTGCTGAAGCTTGCAATGTGTGGCAGGGGATGCCAAATGTCGTCACCGACTGCAAGGGTGCCGAATTCAGCGCGGACCTCGAATATCATGCAAGATAGCCCGCAAAATTTGGGTTTCCGCCTTCTTTTCGCCTTCGGTGCATCACGTGATCAGTTTTTACTTACGTAAATGTGTTGGATAAACGTTCCTGTTCGAGTGATTGAGTGCTTTGCGAATAGGTTACCTTTTTGAGATCATATTTCATCTTTTCAGGCGTCGTATTTTTTGCCATTTTTAATATGGGGAAACCCATAGACTTATTAGCGACCCTCCCCGGTCGCTAATCGGGAAGAGTTCCCTATTAGCGTTTTTTTTTTTTGCAATGGTTTGCCAAAATGCTCACTACAAATAAGTTAGTGAATATTGGGGCAGAAAATGACTATATTTTAATAGAAAAATGAACGATCTCTCCGAAAATCAAGCCATGGTAGCACAGTGGCACCCACAGAGCGTGAGCAATGACGGTTCAAATTAAGGGGGTCGCTAATTAGACACCTTACCCTACCTATGTGGAATGTTAGGTCATTTGCCATTTTTTGTTAGGTATCACATTTTCCCTACGCAGCTTTAGTACGTCTACCTGCAACCGTCCTTACAGCAGGGGACAGACGGACCCACGGACGTCTCGCAAGTGTTGCCGTTCCCGGCCAAGGATTCCCCCTAGACGCGCCGTAGATAGTTCTGTTTGCAGAGGTGCCAGCATGCTGCTCCTTTCACACCGTAAGACGGAAATGAATGTGAGCCGAACACCTGTGTGGCGGTATAAGACGGGCAGCAACGGCCACACCCTCAGTGCTGACGACTGCTCCAGTCGTCTCAGAGACGCTAAGGTCTTCCTTCTGCATCGCCATGAAGCTGCCGCTGGGTCTGCCAGTGGTGTTGTACGTCTTGCAACTGCTAGTGTGCACTGCTCATCTCGCTACTGTGCTTACCTCTGGTCCGACCTCTGGCACCTACGGCACTTCAGGACTGAGCTCCATCATGCGCGACTGCAGTGACCTGCCTCAGGGCACGACCAGCGGCGTCTACACGATCATGGTGGATCTCCAGAATCCGACCCCGGCCTATTGTGACATGGACGATGGCGAGGGATGGACCGTCTTCCAACGGCGAGCAGATATCCTTCCCAGACAGGACTTCTATTTGGACTGGCAGGCCTATAAGTGGGGTCTGGGAAGTTTCGCCGAAGAGTTCTGGTGGGGACTGCATCCGCTCTGGCAGCTGACCTCCCAGTCGGACCGAACATACGAGCTGCGGGTCGACCTCAGAGATTGGGATGAGCAGACGGCGTACGCCACCTACCAGGATTTCACCATCGCGTCCGAGGCCGACAACTACCGAATCGCCTTTACCGACTACGCCGGAGACGCCGGGGATAGTCTTGGATGGCATAAAGGAATGATGTTCTCTACTTTTGATCGGGACAACGACAACGACCCCGACCATGACTGCGCTCATGATCGACAAGGAGCTTGGTGGTACAATGCCTGTACTGACAGCAATCTGAATGGTCTGTATCGACCAGACCTATCAGACTGGCGCACTATCACGTGGTATGATTGGAGAGGAAAAAACTACAGTAACAAGGCGACGACCATGAAGATCCGACCGAGCAGGATCCCTTAGAGATATTCTCAGACAGCCGAGCCATCTGATTAACGCTCCTGATTCAGAATTGTCTGGTCTTTGATTGAGATGACCGTTTAACCCGCGACCTGGTGGGGGGGGGCTATTTTTTGCCCCCCCTCCAGACTTTTCGATATATCTCCAGAACCGCTGCGCCGATCGTCACCAAACTTTCAGTACCCTCCCGGACATCAATTTTACACATTGTGTCCAAAAATTTTTCCAAAAGCTATGATAGGTTGGCCGGAAATGACGTCAGAGTGACGTCATGTTCTGCCGTTTTCGACCCAAAAAAGGGTTTCGCGGGAAGAGCTGTCAGGCCTATAGCTTTGCAAATACAGAAAAATGTTTAGGACATAAAAGCTGTAGAATTGACAGGGCTACAAAACTGCTATCTCGGATTTTTGAATTTTTTTATTTTGACCCCCAAAAATCAAAAAATAGATTTTTGGGATATAATAGTCAAAAAATCCAAAAAGTTTTTTGAATTTCGCAAAAACCGGAATATATGTGATAGTCCTTACCGCCTTCCATCCACATACCAAATTTTAGATTGATACCTCTTTTTTTGGCGAAGTTATAGCGAAAAAACTGTTCAAAATTGATGACGTCAAATTTTCAAACTCAATTTTTAGCGATTCTAGACCTCGTAGTGCAAAACAAAGACCACCATTAGACTCCCCGTGACGATCTGCATCGAATCGATACCCATTTTATGCAAAAATATCAACTTTGAAATTTGACCTTTTTTGACCTGACCTTGACCTGACCCCCACCAGAAAGTGTCCTAAACCGTACCTGATGGTCTTATAACCAACACCATTGGGTTGGAAATGAAAAACTGGCCATAAAACATGCATCGCACAACCTTAGTAAAGTTGGGTTCATGTGGTGACCCTTGGTGACCTTTGGTGACCTGACCTGTGACCTGACCTGGTATGACCAGTGACCTCTAATAGCAACATATGTACTAGACAACTGACGTCTTATCGCTGATTTTCGACAAAATGCGTTTTACTCGGTGTTATAGCGCTTTCCCTAGAAGCCCCGTGAACGGTGAAACATTTTATCTTTGACCTGACCTGTGACGTCATCGGTGACCCCGAGGTCAACAAAATTTGGTTCCCCTCGACAAATTTGACAGGGCTATCGAACGCCGTTTGAATTTTGCGGATCCGTCCAGTAGTTTCGGAGATACGAGGGGGGGGGGGCAAAAAATAGCCCCCCCCCCCCCCCACCAGGTCGCGTTATAAACAGACCCCACCAGGGCGCGGGTTAATGGGCCATTCGTCGTAGCCCCCTTCGTGTCGGCGCCGTGCTTACCATGCGTGGATAGCACTTTTGGCGCTTCGCTCGCATTTTAGGAATGATGGCCATCCTGCTGCTTTGGGTAGGTACATTATCTGCCTACGCCCTACCTACTGATATGGAAGGCGGAACCATCATGCTCATAATAAACAAGTTTCGCAAAGCGCACTGGACGCGATGATTTTTCCTCGATATGCGGATGATCTGTGATGGAGAAATTCTCATTATCCCCGTACAATTTTCCTTGCCTGGCGCTGATAGGAAAGAACTGTTCACATTTTCACCAGGTTAGACTAAAGAAGGTATTCACACCGACGAAAATTGATCATTTCCTAGCCGCGGCAATAAGTTCATTGCTAACATCAATGAACATGATTGCATTGCATTATATTGATACCAACTGAAGACACCTGTCGTTGCGAACGACAGCTCCCTGCCGGAATAAGCGCGAGGATTTGCATTCTCGTGATTTGTGTATTTTTGTCGAAGCAAGTAAAAGGGGAGAATTTGAGAAGGTGGATTCGGAACGTTGAATAGAATCATGTAGAATCTAGCATATGAGTAGTTATTTGCAAGTAAAGACAATATAAGACATGAGATAAAATGAATTTGGCTTTTTTAATGTTTGAATCATAACATTTTGGTCCTCCGGGCCGGATCAGGCCAGTAAAGTAAACTTGATTATCACTAACGTAACGTAACATGTCGTCCAAATCACAAACCAGTTTGAAAACGAGAAGTGTAGCAGGGTCGGGCACATCGACTCAGAGTTCTGTGCGTAGAAGAGCACAGGTTTCACAAGTGAAGGCCGCTCAAGCCCAACGGGCTCTGGAAGATGTGGAGCGGGCTGCTGCGGCCCGACAGGCCGCGTCGGCAGCAGCGGCAGCAGCGGCGGCAGCAGCAGCCGCTGCGGAAGAAGCCCAAATCCAGGCAACATTAGAGCAAGCACGAGCAAATGCACGTCAAGCTGCTGACGCAGCTGAGGTGGATGCCATAGAGTTGCAGCTCGTGGAGGATGACGATGCAATTTCTCAAGGGACAAGAGAGGATGTGGAGGACTTCCGGGACGGCAATGGCACCGGGAGCGGTCTTGTGGCTCCAGCTGTAGAGGAGCGGGAACCTGCCGGCGGTGACTCGCCGCGCAGGGAGCCTGCTGCGAGGCTCCGACGAGTCTCCGAAGACCCACAGAATCGCACCCGGAGCTGGATAACGGCCCTTCCCGGCGGACGGGTCGAACACCGAGAAACATCAGCAGCACTCCCTAGGATATCTCTGGAGAAATTTGACGGCTCTCCGCTAGACTGGCCTAGATGGAGTGGTCTTTTTAAGGCACTGGTACACGACAACGGTACTCTGACCGATACGGAGCGTCTAACGCACTTGCAGTCTTGCCTCACTGGAGAGGCAAGAGAGGCAGTGAGGGGGCTGCTGTGCGATGGTGCACTCTATGAAGAGGCGCTCCGAGAGCTGGAACAACAATTTGGAGACCCAGCAGCGGTAGTGCAGCAGACTCTGGGGAGTGTACTGCAATCCCCTCCCGTGAGACCCAATGACCTTGCGGGGCTCACTCAGCTCTCCCGTTCGCTTCACGCGGCTGTTTGCACCCTGACCACCTACCGCTTCGACGCTGATCTCGCGGCCACGACCAACCTGCGCCAAGTGGTAGCAAAACTGCCAATGAATCTGGCGTGGCAGTGGGGACAAGCAGAACTGGAACTTGGTCACAGCGTGTCGACCCTGTCAGATCTGGATGAGTGGTTGCGAGGAGTAGTGCTCGCGGGTCGGCGCGCCCTCCCAGAGCTGGGCGCCGCGCGCTACTACCGGAGATCCAGTCAAGGAAGGGAGACGGGAGGATCAGCACGGACGACTCGACGCCCCCCGGCAGTGAGCAGCGGTGAGCTTCAGCGAACTACGCTGGCTACTCAGGACGCAGCCACACCTGCAGCAGTGTGCGTAATCTGCCAGAGAGGGGCACATCGACTGGACGAGTGTGAACAGTTTCGAGCCATGACGGCGGACGAGAGATTTCAGGTGGTTCGTGCCAGCAAGCGCTGTTTCAGATGCCTCGGCGAGGGTCACTGGGCTCACCAATGTCGCAAGAAGTCGCTGTGCGGGAAGGATGGCTGCCGCGGGCGGCATCACAGTCTGCTCCATTCACCGGCATCGGCGGTGAGCGAGCTGGAAGAAGTGGGCGTGGAAGACCCGCGCAGGGTGCTCGCTACCAATTCAGCGCCTGTGAGCAGCCGCGTGTCAACACTGCTTCAGGTCGTGCCGGTACGGGTGCATGGAGATGATGGCGCGTATGTTGACACATGCGCTCTCTTGGACTCCGGCGCCGACACCTCTCTCTGCACAGAAGACGTGCTGCGGCGATTGGGGATTACCGGTGAGCCAGAAGAGCTGCGTCTCAACAATGTGGAAGAAACTGGCGAGAAACGGATGTCTGTTCGGACCACACTCACGGTTTCACCAGTTGCTGCGGCTGACGGAGAAGAGCGCCTGACGGTGCCAGAAGTTTTTTCCGTCAAGAAACTCAACTTGCGTCCGCAGAGGATCGACTGGAGGGAAAAGCACAACTGGAAGCATCTGGCAGGGATCTCGATCCCGGACACAAATGGCCGGCCCGTGGAGCTGTTGCTCGGTGCGAATGTGTTGGAGGCCATGCTGCAGAAGGAGGTGCGTGTCGGCCCACCAGGCCAGCCGACGGCCATAAGAACGCACCTTGGCTGGTGTTTGACGGGAAATGTGCAGCAGCTGCTACTGGTCGGTGCTCGAGAGGTTCTCCACATTCGGACCGAGCGTTCAGATCGGGACTCGCTGTCAGAGATGATGGAAGACTGGTGGTCAACTGAAGCATACGGGACTAGATTTGACTTCAAGGCTCCCCGTTCGGCCGATGATCTGGAGGCTGAACGGATACTGGAAGGAACGACCCGTTGGAGAGGTGACCGTTATGAGACCGGGCTGCTGTGGCGCTCTGACGGTATCATCTTGCCAGATAACTATGGAATGGCACTGCGTCGGCTAGAGAACACAGAGAGAGGACTGAAGAGAGCGCCAGAAAAGGCTGACGCCTATCAGAAGGTCATGCAGGAGTACATAGAAAAGGGCTACGCGCGGAAACTGTCTGAAGAGGAGCGGCGTCAGTCTCACGATCGATGCTGGCATCTCCCTCACCATGCCGTCACGAGCCAGAACAAACCAGGGAAGATCAGAGTCGTCTTCGATGCCGCGGCTAAGTACGGTGGCACCTCTCTGAACGAAAACCTGCTCACAGGGCCAGACTACCTGCTAACCATCCCAGGGGTACTCATGAGATTCCGACAGGAACCAGTGGCCTTGAATGCAGATATCGAGAAGATGTTCCTACAAGTGGCAGTGAGGGCAGAGGACCAGCCGGCGCTGAGGTTCCTCTGGCGAGGTCTGGAGGTGCACCGACCCCCAGACATTTATCAGATGGATCGGGTGATTTTTGGTGCGCGCTCGTCTCCAGCCTCAGCCAGCTATGTGCTGAACAAGACAGCAGAGGAGAAGTGTTCTGAATCAGCGGCAGGCCTAGCCGCAGCGGCCACCGTCCGAGGCAACTTCTACATGGATGATCTGGCGACGTCAGGGAAGGACATCTGGGCAGCGAAGGAAATGGTTTCTGAAGTATCAGCGCTGGTCTCTAAAGGCGGATTCTGCCTCCGGAAGTGGCTGAGTAACAGCAGAGAGGTGCTGGCCGGGATCCCGACGGACGACCGGGTGTCAAGTGCGACTGACTTGCGAGGGCCGCTGCCGACGGAGAAGGTGCTGGGCGTCATGTGGGACGCAGAGCGAGACAAGCTGTCTGTAAGCCAGCCGCCAATAGTTACTGAAGATGCAGAGACAAAACGCTCAGTTTTACGTGTGGTGGCTTCGATCTATGATCCCATTGGCCTGCTCTCTCCATTCACGCTGCTGGCGAAGCTGCTCCTTCAAGACCTCTGGTCTGTTCAGCGTGACTGGGACGAGCAGCTCGACGCAGATGAATATCGGCGATGGACTGCATGGCTCACCGAACTGTCACGAGTCTCAGCGGTCACGGTGCCAAGATGGTACGGAAGACTAGAAGAAAGGCCACGTCAGACACAGCTCCACGTGTTCGGTGATGCCTCGGAAAGGGCATTTGGTGCGGTAGCATTCCTTCGAACAGTGTACCCAGATGGAATGGTGCATTGCTCCTTGGTTATGAGCAGATGCCGGGTCGCCCCCCTGAAGAAACTCTCCATTGTGAGACTGGAGACACAGGCGGCTGTCATGGCTGTACGGCTGGCCTGCTGTGTGAGACAAGAGCTCACACTGGACATCCACGAGACAATTTACTGGAGCGATAGCCGAGTCGTGCTTGGCTACATTTTCAACACCAGCCGGCGATTCCACACATTTATTGCGAATCGTGTCGCAGAGATCCGGAGTGTTTCCGAACCGTCCCAGTGGCGATTCGTACCCGGAGAAGAAAACCCAGCCGATGACTGCACTCGTGGACTGGTGGCATCCGAGATGACTGAAGACTGCCGCTGGATCCATGGGCCCGACTTCCTATGGCAGCCTGAGAAGATGTGGCCGGAGGATCCTCTACCACGGTCAGTCGCAGAAGAAGATCCTGAGGTGAAGACGGTTCTGAGCGTGAGTTATGGGAGCGAGACAACGTCTGAAGTGTTACCGGACCCCAGCCGCTTCTCTAGTTGGAACCGGTACCGGCGCACGGTGGGTTGGATGCTCCGATTCTGCAAGAATCTGGCGGCCGCACGCACGACTAGTAGGCGCGGCTCCGGCCCCCTGTCGACACCTGAGCTCCGAGAAGCAGATGCCGCTATCATTCGCCTGCTGCAACGCAAGGAATTTGGTCGGGAGTTGGCTGCGCTGAGAAGAGGAGCTCCCATAGACAGCAGCAGTAGCCTACTGCCTCTGTCTCCGCAGCTGGGTCAAGATGGCCTGCTACGTGTCGGAGGCCGCCTGGACCGTGCTCCGCTATCAGAGACGGCGTGCCATCCACTCATCTTACCAAGAGAAGCCGGTGTGACGTCACTGCTGATCGCAGCCACTCACGAGCGGCTGATGCACGCCGGGACAGATCACGTCCTGAACGAGCTCCGTCAGCAATACTGGATCCCGAGGGCAAGACAAACAGTGAAGAAGGTCGTGCGCGCCTGCGTAGTCTGTCGCCGTCGACGGGCCAAGCCATGCCAGCCGCTCATGGCCGATCTCCCGGACTCGAGATTTGACACCCGTCGCAGTTTCAGCTCAGTTGGGATTGACTTCTTCGGGCCTCTGGTCACCAGGTCGGGTCGGCGCAGCATGCAGCAGAAGAGATACTGTCTGCTGATAACATGTCTAACTACCCGAGCCGTCCATCTCGAAGTAGCAGAGTCTCTATCTACGGACAGCTTCCTCATGGCACTTCGGAGGTTCATCGCGAGGAGAGGCAAGCCTGAAGTGATCTACAGCGACAACGGCACGAATCTGCGAGCTGGCGAGAGAGAGCTCCGCCGGCTGATCCACGAGTGGAACCAACAAGACATCAGCGACCAACTGTCTCAGGCTGACATCATCTGGCGCTTCAATCCGCCGGGGGCAGCGGACATGGGCGGCATCTGGGAGAGGATGATAGGAACGGTGAAGAGGGCACTCCGCACCGTTCTCGGAAGGCTGATTATCACTGACGAAGTCCTACACACTGTCATCACGGAGGCTGAAGCCGTGGTGAACAGCCGACCGCTGACCTACGTGTCCTCTGAGGATGATGGCCTGGAGGCGCTCACACCCAACCACCTGCTGCTGGGATACCGGACCGTCTGTCTTCCACCGGGTGTCTTCAGCGACAGAGACACGTCCAGCCGGCGGCTCTGGCGTCAGACACAGGCGCTGGCGGATCAGTTCTGGGCCCGCTGGTTGAGAGAGTATGTACCCAGTCTGATCTGCCGCCAGAAGTGGACTCGTGAGACAAGAAATCTGGCCCGTGGAGACCTGGTCCTACTGGTGGAGGAGAACATGCCACGCGGTCGGTGGCCACTCGGTCGCGTAGTGGAGGTGATGCCAGGTCCGGACGGTCGTGTGCGCTCTGCCCGCGTGCGGGTTCACGGCGGTGAAGTGCACCGCCCGGTGCGACGGATCTGTGTGCTGGAGGAGGACACTGTCTGAGGGAGCTGCCACCTCGTTCCTCGTGTCGTCAGCCCTTGGGAGGGGGAGGATGTCGTTGCGAACGACAGCTCCCTGCCGGAATAAGCGCGAGGATTTGCATTCTCGTGATTTGTGTATTTTTGTCGAAGCAAGTAAAAGGGGAGAATTTGAGAAGGTGGATTCGGAACGTTGAATAGAATCATGTAGAATCTAGCATATGAGTAGTTATTTGCAAGTAAAGACAATATAAGACATGAGATAAAATGAATTTGGCTTTTTTAATGTTTGAATCATAACAACACCTTTTCCTCACGTAGACAATAGTCACTAGATCTGGACATTGGACAATGGTATCCAGTGGGGACGCTTTTACGCTCCTCCCTGCCTAAAAGTGCTTCATTAGGACTACCGGACCTGCGTGTCGGCTAAATGCTGGTTTCAACGGGTCATAAAACCGCTTTGAACTGCTCTGGAGATGTGAACCCTCCCCCAACTCCAAATCTTGGTATCTATGAAGGCGTATGTATACAGGTCTCGAGGGTTTTAGCGGTAGGTTTTGCACCTAGAAAATTAAATGTACTTCAGGCTATATCTTCGTTGTCTTAAGCTTTTAGTGTTGAAGATGTGATCGACTTGTTGGTTCACAAGCCGGCCACGATCGTGTAAAATGGCTTCATTGTAGAATGTAGATCGATTAGTTTCTGAGATATAGCCGGAAATGTAAAAGTGCAAAACCTACCGCTTAATCTCGCGAGAGCCGTACCTATGCAGCAACATCTGCCAGTGCATATAAAAGCATGGTAGATCATCCAAATCAACAAGCTCGCCCCTTCTCGGCCAAGCTCCGCCCCTCGGTGCAGACGGTGAGAGGCGCCACTTCTCCGCCGAGTCACGGTGTGTTCAAATTGCCCCACCGTGGGGTAATTTGAGCATACTGCCTTTACCTGCCATAAAAACGATAGTCTCGCCAGCACCGATGTTGTTTGACCCATAAACGAATAGGCAGAGCAATTCTTAACATACCTTCATTTGAAAAATCAACACAACAACAAAAATTACAGTTGCAGAGTATCGATATCTGCACGCTGCACATTGGTCAGTTGACAGAATTCGCCTCTCTTCAATTAACAGAACGAACGTCTATCATCTCCGTTCGATAAAAACTCTACTAAACCCTACTTCATCTGTTTTTTTTTTTTTACTTCATCTGTTATAGTGGTGCCAATCGGAACCTGGACATTCGGAGTTCCGATTCTTTATAATGTCCAATTCGGAATTGATTGCACAAAGGTATAGTAGTCTAGACAACATTGGACGATGGCCTGCCACACTTAAGCATTTTTATCCCTAATCGTGCGTAGCATTGATTGGCGAATGGAAAGCTTGTTAACCCTCGCCGGCACAGGCCATTTTGAGTCCTTCGACGGCACAAGGGGGGGGGGGTTGGTACGACCCCCCCCCCTCGCGTTTGGCCCCTGATCGAGCTAGAGCTTCGCGGAAAAAACGAGCGTGTTGCCCGTCACGAGAGGAAGCCGATGATACCCAATTTTAAGGTCCCAGGTCATCGGGTGACCTTCCAGGTCAGGTCAATGACCCGAAAACCGGGAAAATCGGGACCTGTTAGAAAGTCGTAAAGTGTGGCTGTTATGTGGTTTTCCGGGGTGCTGATCACGAATATCGTATTAGTTTTGATCAGAGATGATGTCTTTAAGCATTTAGACCAGGTCGGGTCAGGTCAGGTCAGGTCAACCGGTAGGGGTTGTGACGGGTATTCGTAATACGTGTTAACCGCCTCGGACAGCTTCGTAACATGTTACGAAGGCACCAAAACTACTTCGTAAATGTTCAAATGGTTGCTAAATTCGAATTCAGCTCCAAAAACTAGCCTAGAAACATGTAAAACTCGAAAAAGTGAACCGAGGTCACCCGAGGTCACCAAAGGTCAATGACCTGACCTGACCTTCAGGTGACCTTGACACCCACCCTAATGCATGGGAGCAACATCAAATCACATGTTTGAACGTTTGAAACCACGAAAAGCTTGCAAACGCGCGGCTAATGCGAGCCAACATGCGCCGAACCGCGATTTCGGCCAAACATGGTCACAGAAAAAAGGTCACAGGTCAAAGGTCATTGGGGTCAGGGTCATGAAATTTTCAGGGTAGGTGTAAAATTGATCAATGCGAGGGTACTGAAAGTTTCGTCGCGATCGGCCGCTTTTTACGCGAGATATTCGCGAAAAACCTTAGGGGGGGGGGGGTTGCATCAACCCCCCCCCCCTGTGCCGGCGAGGGTTAAGCTCTCAATATAATGAAAACTTTTCGGCTGGTAAAATTACATGATAAGCAATATAAATGACGGTTTCGAGTGTTGATAGCTGCATAATTTTCGGACATATTTGGACAAATAGTTGACTTTAACATTGTTGGACGGAAAATCAACGAAAATGCCGGACATTAGACGGATATTAGACGTTAATTTTCTAAAACTGGCATCACTTGTCTGCTACTGCTTTGGGTCGAAAGTACTGGCAAAAAAAAACTGGGAGCGTTGTTTTTTTCGGAGCTATCCCTGTCTTCATTGAAATTCTAACACTATGTTCAAATTACCCCACGCTAAAAGTTATTTTGCCATTTTTAAAAACAGGGTTCAAAAGCAAATTTCTTGGATTGAAGGCACTGATTAGGTCATTGTACAACAAAAGCCGTTGCGTATTAGGCGCTAGCAATGCAAGATTTTGCGCTGCAATGAAGTTGCAATGACGTGTTGTTAGGCGTTTATCCTTGCGAAATTGATTTTTTACACTGTGCGTCAACATCTTCATTCCCTGAAACTTTAAACCCCGTTCATATGATAGCCCTTTTAGTTACGATAATTTCTCTCATGGGTCTTATTGTTATGCCACTTATGGATTTTCCGTAATCTTGTGTTATTCACACTATGTTCAAATTGCCCCACATGTTCAAATTACCCCACCCTACTCTAATGATGGAAGGTGATGATGGAAGGTGCTTGAAGAGATGCTGAAAGGAGAGAGGGTGGGCACATTTGACTCAAGATTTTCATTAAATATTTCACTGTGTTCACATATTCAGTTGCATTTGACATTGCCAGACGCCAGCTGCTGATACCAGCTATACTGTTGGGTGGATCTTGAGTTGTGCGGCGAACATGAACAGGGAAGGTACATTATTTGGCATTGCCAAGACTAAAATGACAATATTTTCTTTTTCTTTATTCTTCTTTGTTCTGATATTTTTGTTGACAGGTGCTGCCGCCAGCGCTTAGCGCTGGCGCGGAGACATATCATTTGAATATAATGCAGGTGCCACTCGGTGTTTAGGTACAGCTAGAGCTGAATGACCGTGTTTCATATCTGATTACGGTATACATACAGATGTTACAGATACCAGTAAAACGCCTTTTGGGCGAAGAACGAGCGAGCGAGATAGTGAGCCCTGCACGTGCAGAAGGGCGAGAGGGTACTTCCAACGGGCTTCTGCAAAGCACCCTTCTAACCGGTCGCTAGCGGTGTGCCAAATTTGAACTCAATCGGCCCAGCCGTTCCTGAGATCTGGAAGCGGCATTCTGCACGTGCGCACGTGCAAACGGGGTCCAAACTGACTTTTGCACGGCACCCTACTAACTGGTCCCCAACCGTGTACCAAATTTGAGCGCAATCGGCCCAGCCGTTCTCGAGATCTGGAAGCGCCCCCTGCACGTGCGCACGTGCAGTAGCACCCTAACCGCAACACATGGGAATGCATTGTCTGGTGGGTGCCTACTTGTATGCCAAGTTTCAGCGAAATCGCCCCAGTAATTACCGAGTTATCAAAATGGGAACAAATTGAACACCTCTTATTGTTGTATTTTGCACGTGCACTGGGGGTGACCCACATGCATCGAGAGTATCCTATTTTTGGTAGAAGGGATGCTGCTACCCTACAAAAATTACCGCAAGCCAATCGTCCAAGCGGCTGCTGAGATATGAGCCTCTCAAAATCACTACTTTTGCAAAACAGCTTGAACACCCTTGACTTTTCACGTGGCACGTGCCACGACGGTCACTGAGATGTATCAAAAGTAGTCAATTACGGGGTAGAAGGGATGGGGCTACCCAACAAAAAAGACCGCAGACCAATCGGTCCAGTGATTGCTGAGATATAAGCCTCTCAAAAGCGTTACAGGCCGGGCCGGGCCGGGCCGCTCATACTGAGATTTTTCCGTTATATTGAAAAGACTCACTTCGCTCGCTGCGCTCGCTCGCTCGTAATTACTCAGTGAGCATCTATTTAGTTGAGCTACGCGGAGGTTTTCCCTCCTAATGTCTTTGAATTTTAGTATCAATGCTATTTTATTTTGATTTCTCATTTTTCTGTACCTCAAAATAAAGTGGCCGAAATCGGAGGAGAAAAAAATAGGGGTAGTTAGGTTGGGGAGATCTGCCAGCGCCCCCCCCCCCCCCCAACCATCTTCATAAATTGACACCGCTGCTAGGGTGATCACTCAGATAACAGGCCTCGATGTGCGCCGAATCCTCTGAACCCTAAGTGTAAATATACAAAACATGAGTTGGGACACACGTGAGTCGTGGCTCCTCAGATCCCGACTCAGGGTCCGCCTCAGGCAGCCCCTGTTGCCTCTAAGAGCTCGAGTGAGCTCGCCTTGGAAGATATCCTCATTGATCTGTGCGGCCGTTCAGAGACCTAGTTACGTATAGGGTCCTCAAAGATCGTCACATGGGCCCTCAGAGAATATAGACACCAGTGGGACTCTCAGAGGCCGGTTAGGGTCCCTCTGAAGCTAGCTTGGAACTCAGTTGAGTTCCTTAGGAGCCTGCGTGAGGCCTTCATGAGAACTGTGGCACTTGTAGTTGAAGCTGTACTTGTAGCTGTCACAGACAATTGACCTGCATGGTTGGGAAATACCTATCCCAAACAGGCTTGGCTCTCGCGTCACACTTTAAAAAGAAAAGTTTTGTATCAGCATATACACATTACACAACTATTCGGTGGAAATCGGGTATAAAATTCAGTAAAGAACCAGTTAGGAACAACAATTGAATCAAAACATTGACATTTTCGGGTCTGGAGTCGGGAGTCTTGAAGATTGTTGCACTCCGAATCCGACTCTCGTAAGAACTGCGGGCTCCGACCATGGTCATTGACGTGACCTGAAGGGTCAAAAATGACCTAGGACCGTAGAAGAAGCTTTCTCTCGTCTCGGGCCACACGCTCGTGTTACCGCCGAGCTCCACCTACATAGCTTGATGAGGGGCCGAACGGCAGGGTCCAGCGGTCCCTCCTGAAATACGCTAGACGCACGCAAAATATCAATACGGGCGAGGGTTATAACAAACGATTTTTGTCTTCGATTTTATTGTAAAAACTTATCTCAGCGGTCGACAGCGGTCTTCCGGAAGACACCAAAATATAAACAAAATTGGTGATATGAACAATCTTCCACAAAACTAAAGTTAATCCCTTTTTCAAAAATGGTTTGACTCCAAGTACATTACCAAAGCTGACACGCGAGGTTCGTTGACCGGGGGCTGACCCAAGACATCTTAAATCTTAAACGCCAAGACATCTTAAACTCAAAACCTTCAAACCCAGACCATGTCACTTGGTTTATTTATGGGCGCGTCGACTACAAATGTCATTCTGCGCCCAGTCCTGTCACTTTACTTTTCATTACATCAGAGGCCTCCACCCCAAGAGGGTCTCCATTTGGTCTCCATACAATAACAGTGCGTGATGCGCAACGTTCGCTAGTCGCTACCTCGTTTATGGAAAGCTTTGCTGTAACATTGACTAACATTGTATATTCAATTAAAAACACTTCCTTGACTTACCGAAAAAAGAGCAAACCATTAAAAAAAAAAAACGAACTACAGCTATCGAACTGAACACTAAGGATTGACCAACACACGGCAGGTGGCATGCAAAGCAGTGTCTCGCCGAAGTTGTAGACAAGCCGGACACAATCCTATGGCCGTTCCCGCGAGTGGATCCGCAGGTGCTGGGCAAGATTACTTCGGCTTAAGAACCGTGCCGGGCAGGAGGAGCATCCGTACGGCCGCTTTCCCGTATGGGTCTGCATATGCTTGTTAAGATGATCGTGTCTTCGGAACCGTGCCGTGCAGATGGAGCAGGCGTGAGGGCGATCCACTGTGTGTGTTCGCCTGGGTCGAATGATGTTTGACCTTTCAGGGCACCCGCCTGAGCACTGGAGCGGCTCATCACCACCGTGAAGTTGTGTATGGGCGTTACAATGAGAGATGATCTCAAACGTAGTGTCACAATGCTTAAGCTGCACTGCCCTGTCCTCGGAGTGAACAAGTTTGTGTCTCGTCAGGTGACTGGACTGCTTGAAGGCCTTTTCACAGATGTCACACTTGAATGGTCTCTGCTCGGTGTGTGAGAGGCGGTGCCTGGCCAGAGAATTAGGGTACGAAAAAGTTCTGTCACAGTCACTACAGCGGTACGGCCGCTCTCCAGTGTGGGTCCTGCGGTGGCGCGTCATGTGTTCGAGCATGTCGGTGGAGTATTGGCACCACTCGCACTTGTGCCTGCCGTTCCTCCCGATATGACCGTGACGTTTCTGCACGTGTCTGTCTAGAAGATCATGCTCCAAGCAAGAGTAGCTGCAGTGAGGACAATGCAATATTTCCTCGCCACCTGGAAAGCAAAGGCATTTTGTTTGACACAGAAAACTGGAAGCAAATCCATTGGGAGGTAGGGACGCCGGAACTCCTTGAGTTTGGGGGTCAACTTAATTCGCGACAAGCGGGATTAACTTTTTAACGAACGTAGTCTTTGAAATAGCGTGCCACAGGGTCACATTTTAAATCCTCGCCCGACGCAGCCTAATGTTACGGCCCCGTGATAGAAGCAGCGGCCCCGTGATGACTACCGCGATGCTCGCCATTGTCGTGCTTGACGGTGACTTTTAGCGCGCATCCTGAAGCCGGGTAGGGGAGACCCGAGAGGTATGGGCCGGTTTTGTGAAAAGGCAATTTTCTTCCAGTGGGCAGTGGCTAGACCCGGTTTTCACTCTGTGTACGTGAAATTGCCTTTCGCCTGCAAAGTGTGCCTGACATTAGGCATCTGCGCTCAACTATTTTGTCTCGAGATAGGTGATGACCCGACGGTCGGCACCTGGGTATCTCTCCAAGTAGCTCATCGACCTCTCCTTCTTCGACGTGGGGACGAAGTTCGAGGAAAAGCGGTTGATCGCCACCTCCATGCAGCGGCGACTGAGAGAGGGGAACCCATTTTGTCGCGCCGAAAACACCCTTAACGCAGTGGGGCATCGCTCGCTAGCGTCGTTTGTAATGACCAGCTCTGTCGGTCTCGGTACCGCTCTCGGGGTCAGTCACGATTTCCTCAAAGACCCGGCCGAGTGGTCGGAGAGTGACTTCACCACGATTCGTCGGCGATCGTCACTCGTCAGATACGGGTGGTGAACGACTTTGCTGGAGAGATGTGGCGCTGTTATCCTGAATTTGCAGCTGTTACGCTGTTACGCTGAATTTTGCAGCGACATCACACGCGCAAGGCTCCCCCTCTCAGTCGCTCGTTCATCGCCCCAAAAAGTGTTATACTTGTTTAAGTGTATCTGAGACGTCTTTTGTCGATTCGATTTTAAAGTAATCAAAGCAGCCTAAGCAACCAGCCTGAGAGTCTTTGGCAGACAAACGAAGTCGATTTCATTACAGTTGTGCAACTCCGAGCGAGTGGCTCGATTAAACAGGCCACGTCTTATGACAGAGGTTGGAGCTACCACCATGTGGTTCGATACTTCGTCACAAAACCTCAATAGCTGTAACACCATGCGGGACAACAAGGTCCAACACGTTTCCTCTCGTCGCCGATGACGACTGAGTCGTCGGAGACGTCGCCGATAACTTTGGAGGGACAGCGATTGAAAATTAGCAAACCGTTTGATATTTTTTGTCAATTTTGCTCAGGTGGGTGTGTAATCGAACGGTTAATTGCCTGTGCAAAAATGACAAAAACAGATTTTTTAAAATCAATTTTAGCAATTTCACTAATCCACTACACACTGTCTCAAATAGCCACATTGTCTTATTAGCCGCAACTTACGGTATATTTCCTACGTAAATCATCATATATTGCCTTTCTTATTTTGAACACCAATGAGATTAAGCCGCGAGCTGTTGGGGGGGGGGGCGTAAACGCCCCCACTTTTTTCGCCGCGCTATAGGCGCAAAAGTTTTGGTACCTGTGGGGATCATTCGAAGTTTACTGTAACAAAGTTTCAGAAAAAAATTGGTTGGAAATATTTTGAGATATCGAGGCTTCAAAAACACCATGCTTTTCGAGTTTTCGACCAGGAACGACGTGTTAATAAAAAAATCATGGAAAATGACATAACACACATACAGACACTCCTGTCGTACACACCATTAGACTGCCAATGCTATGAGCTATCAAATGGCAATCTTCGAATTTTTATTAGCATTCTACATTTTCCAAAATCTTGAACTGAAGCTTGGCAATTTCTTGCAACTACGTCACGAACGTGATAAATGCATTTAGTAAATCGATCATTTTCGACTAAACAAGCACATACTCATATGATAAAACCAGTAAAACGCCTTCTGGGCGAAGAACGAGCGAGCGAGATAGTGAGCCCTGCACGTGCGGAAGGGCGAGAGGGTACTTCCAACGGGCTTGCGCAGAGCACCCTTCTACCCGGTCGCTAGCGGTGTACCAACTTTGAACGCAATCGGCCCAGCCGTTCCTGAGATCTGGAAGCGGCATTCTGCACGTGCGCACGTGCAAACGGGGTCCAAACTGACTTTTGCACGGCACCCTACTAACTGGTCCCCAACCGTGTACCAAATTTGAGCGCAATCGGCCCAGCCGTTCTCGATATCTGGAGGCGCCCCTGCACGTGCACTGCGCACGTGCAGTAGCACCTTCACCGCAGCACATGGGAATGCATTGCCTAGTGGGTGCCTACCTGTATGCCAAGTTTCAGCGAAATCGCCCCAGTAATTATCGAGTTATTAAAATGGGAACAAATTTGACACATCTTATTGTTGTATTTTGCACGTGCACTGGGGGTGACCCACATGCATCGAGAGTATCCTATTTTTGGTAGAAGGGATGCTGCTACCCTACAAAAATTACCGCAAGTCAATCGCTCAAGCGGCTGCTGAGATATGAGCCTCTCAAAATCACTACTTTTGCAAAACAGCTTGAACACCCTTGACTTTTCACGTGGCACGTGCCATGACGGTCACTGAAATGTATCAAAAGTAGTCTATTACGGGGTAGAAGGGATGGGGCTATCCAGCAAAAAAGACCGCAGGCCAATCGGTCCAGCGGTTGCTGAGATATAATCCTCTCAAAAGCGTTACAGGCCGGGCCGGGCCGGGCCGCTCATACTGAGATTTTTCAGTTATATTGAAGACTCGCTTCGCTCGCTGCGCTCGCTCGCTCGTAATGAACGTCACGTCACCATCGTGTTCTACAGCCAAGAGTACCCACAAACCATGTGTCAAATGCTGCGAACACCACTTTTGATTTAGGGGGATATGTGATTAGGTACCTGCTTGAACTGACCTTGACCCTGACCTAACCTATGCTTGACTGACCCCTACATGGATCTGCCATTCGTGTGGCATTAAGGATTGTGCACAGTTTTGACGAGGCTTATGACGAGAGACGCCCAGTACGAGCTTCTAAAGTGCATGCTACTGAAAGTTCAAGTTCAGGCGTTTGAACCAATCCTGACCCGAACCATGACCTCAAAATTCAGCTTCTAATTTTGAAGCTGAATTGAATTGATTGAATTGATTACTAAGCTGAAGCGTCTCATCGCGTTCTTTCGTTTGCCGCCTCGTGCGTTTCGCTGCGCCTATTGGTTCTCGAGTTATCGGCTGGGGGCGTTTAATGCCCCCCCCCCCCCCAGCAAACGGCGGGTGGCGAAATACCCCAGCAACTGCCGGGTTATAATGAATGCAAGAGATGTAGGGGGTGTAATAAATGTAGTGGATGTACTAGATGTAGGTAATGAATGCAGTAGATGAAATATATGATCGTACGAGTATGTAGCTGTCACTGATGCAATAGATGTAATGGGTGTAGTAAATGGTGTCCGGACAAATTGCCGAAAGGCGATTTCCCGAATGTCATTTTGCCGAATGTATTTCGCCGAATGTCATTTTGCCGATGTGCTTTTTGCCGACGTGTCAAAAAGTCGAAATGCTAAAAGTTAAAATGTCATTTGCCGAAATGCCGATTTGATGAAATGCTAATTAGTCGAAAAGTAAATTTGCCGAAATGCGATTTGCCGAAATGTCGATTAGTCGAAATTCGGCAAATTAGCATTTCGGCGAATTGACTTTTCGGCAAACTGACATTTCGGCAAACTGACATTTCGGCAAATTGACATTTTGATTAATTGACATTTCGGCAAATTAGCATTTCGGCAAATTTACATTTTCGACTTATTGCACATCGGCAAAAAGGCATGTCGGCAAATTGCATTTCGACTTATAGCACTTCGCCTTTTTGACACGGCGGCAAAAAGACACGTCGGCAAAATGCATTCGACATATTGACATTCGGCGAATAAGCATTCGGCAAAACGCAGTTCGGCAAATTGTCCTGTAACCGTAGTAAATGGCTGATGGACTCAGTGGAAATAATGTAACAGATGCAACAGATATTAGATGTTATAATCGAGATAAATACGAAATTCATGTAACGACGTCCCACCTTGGGAGACGGGCGACTGGCGTTCACTGAGCTCATCCTTGGGAGCAGTGAGATCCCCGGTAACATCACTGGACGGCGAACGGTCTTCTTTGATCTCCACCTTGGGAAAGCTGGCGTCCCCTGCAAGGTTACTACCATCGGATGGCACCTGGAAACAAAATGTTTGACTGAGTCACTGGCGTTGGCACTGGATGCAGTACCAAGGCTTTAGGTGAGACGCCTGCTAACTTTTGTCTACTGCGTATCTGGTCCGTTCCACAAAGTCTGAGCGGAATCGAGCACGCCGTTCTTAAGCTGTAGAGTGTAGAGGCGACCCCTTCAGGAGATCATTATCGAAAGGTGCATTGCTTGATTAATGCAGGAACTTAGGAACATCGATATAAAATGAAAGCGTTTGATATTCATTTCTCATTTTTTAGGTCTATACTCTATAGGATGCGTTAGAAGTTTTGATAACTTCCGTCGATCGGAATTAACTTGGAATATTTCCAATAAGCTCCCTCATAGCCCATAGGTATCGCGCTGCTGAGAACGTCCTTGCGTTCCTTCATCATTCAACGAGGGGCATAGTAGCTGAGCTGCTGATTGTGACCCAGATGGTGACTGGCCTGGGTCACCGGAGGAGACGAGGGGCGGGCGTCACAGGAAGACCCCAAACACAAGTTTGTCCGGTCGGTTCTTCTGCATTTCAACCGTCGCCTAGATTGTCATGGAGAAAGCACTCCGAAATTCCGTCAAATCTTTCTAAAATAGAGTACTGACAGCAGGCCTAAGCTGCACAGACATACACATGCACTAACCCGGTAAGCAGAATTGAACAAAACGCTAATGTGAAGCGAGGTGGCGTCACAAAGGCACACGGGTCCTCACCTCAGTGTCGGGTGTCAACTCGAGAGGGTCACGGTCGGGTACGTCCACCCTCCACTTGACGTCCCAGTCGTCGTCATCTGTCGAAGAGTTCACAGTTATGGCCTGCAATGGACTGCACTCATCTCACCAACGTATTTAAAAAGACCCTCCCACCTTCAAAAGTTAGTGAATTGGTATAACAATGGTTCGCTTGGTTCAGATTGAGCAAAAATAAATATCTACCGAATTTCATTGAAAAGCATAAACCGGTTTTTGACATATTAGACAATTACTTGTATTGTATTGTATTGTATTGACACCAAAAGCCTTCCACATATGGCGTGGCGATTACTTTCGTTTAATTTTCGGACCCTTCCTACGACGTCATTTGGAAGCAAATGACGTCGTAGGAAGGGTCATCCAGTGCTGAAGAAAGGTCGTTTGGGTCAGGGTCATGATATTTTCAGGGTAGATGTAAAATTGATCAGTGCGAGGGTACTGAAAGTTTCGTCGCGATCGGCCGCTTTTTACGCGAGTTATTCGCGAAAAACCCTAGGGGGGTTGCATCACCCCCCCCCCCCCTGTGCCGGCGAGGGTTAAACTGCAGACTTTGAAAATCAATATATCCGAATAAAAGCAGTGGCGTATCCAGGATCTTGAAAAGGGGGAGGCCAAACCTGCTCAAGGGGCCCCACCCTTACCTTAGGGGCCCCAGTAGTGACGCACTTATCCCACGCCCAGGTGCGGTTCTTTGCCACTTTTACCATGTGAGGGAGCCTTTTTAGGCACACTCGGCAATCTAAAAAAGAAAAGAAAAGAAAAACGTGAAAAAGCCATCGACATCGATAGCTCTGTATGAAGTGTACAATTTATTTCAGCAGTAGGCATACAGTATTTTTCCTTTGATCGGTGCCGGGGCCACTAAAGATTATCAAAAACAAAATGTTTTGTCAATTTTTTTAACGATTGTAACATTTTTCAAAGGGCAGATTTTTTTTATAAATTTAGTCCGAACCTTTTGATGGGAAGGATTCACAAGGAGAGCCACCGCTAAGCGAAGCTTGTTGCGATGACCCTGCCCTCTACCCTCCGATCGCGTAATTCCGATTCTATGGCAGAATTTAGAGTCCAAAGTTTAACGTGCGCACAAAGCCGCGCACGGCCGGTCCCCTCGCTGACTTCGCCTGGCTACGGCCTGCCACCAACCGCAACCATACCTGCCAGGAGGCCCATAAATGTCGAGCGCCCGTCGCGCTTCGAACCCGGACTGTCATAACCGGGGACGCGTACTCTCACCACGCGGAGTCCAACGCTCTAACCAACTGAGCTACAGGACCGGCAGATGTCAATCTCTTAGTGTCTTGCGCTGGTTGAGGGCTGATACCCTTAACTTTAGCAGGGCCCGACTCGGGTTAAGCTCTGATCTAGACTCTGATGGCTCTATGTCACCCACATTGGCCTCATTCCGGCCTCTGAAGGCTCATTCTGGCCTCTGAAAGCCCAACACCGGCAACAGAGTGAACTACGCTGGCCTGCGGGCCCCATACTGGCCTCAGTAGACCCATGATGCTATGGCTGACCTCATAGCCCTCCCCCCGCGCCGGCTCTTCGGAGTCTTTGAGTCAGTCTGAGGACCCTATGCCGCTCTCGAACCCACGCCGGTCTCTAGAAGCCCATGATGCCCCCTGAGGGTCCCACGCCGGCCTTTATAAGGGCCACTCCTACCTCAAGGGGCCCAAACATGCATAAGATCTGAAAAGTGGTTGCCGAGGCCCTCGAGGTGGCCTCTAATGGCCCGACGCCAGCCTATGAAGGCCCGCGCTGGCTTCTGAGGGCCCAGCACCAGTCTCTGAAGTCTGAAGTCAGATGACAGATGGCCCCACGCTGGCCTCAGATGGCTCACGCTGGTCACAGAGTGCCCAACACTGGCCTAAAAGGGCTCCACATTGTCTTCAGAGGGCCCCAAGCTAGTCTCGGTGGCCAATGGGCCTCTATCTGACCTAAGAAAGCCCCATGTCCCTGGGCTTAAAGACCCCACGCTGGACATAGTCGGCCCCATGCTGGACATAGAGGGCCCACACTGGCCTTACAAGGCTTCACACTGGCCATAGAAGGCCCCACATTGACCTTAGAAGACCCCCACAATGGCCTTAGAGGGCCCCACGCTGGCCTTAGAGGGCTGAGCGCTGGCTCCTTAGGGCTCTACACCAGCCTCAAAGGATCCCACGCTCGAGTATAAGCTTCTTTATGGCCGCCAAAGCGACCTCTGAGGGCCCACGCTAGCCTCTGGGGGCTCGGCCTTGGCCTCTGAGGGCCTATCAGCGCCATCAAATGGCATTTTAAGATAGTTTGGCGCAGTTTGACTTTAGTTATGCTTTAGTTAGTTTGGGCCAGTACTTTGGATGAGGCCCTGAAGATCGTTTCTCTTGGGACACTCAAGCAGGCACGTAGTACGTACCCAGGATTTTGCCCAGGAGGGGGCCGCCTGCTCTCAAAGGGGCCCACGAGTCACCCGGATGCCGCTGTCAACCCAGGCAGGGGCGTATCCAGAACCTTTCGATGAGGGGATTGGGCACAGTGAGTCCGGTCCCCCCTTGCAGACGGGCCCCTCTGTCCGTCTGTCTGTCTGTCTGTCTAAGTCCTGAGAAAATGTGCAAAATTGGCAGGTAAAAATATCATTTCTTGCTTGAGAACTGAGAAGTATGCATAAAATGCACGGTATTTTATGAGGAAGTGAAGCGAGCGAGCGCCTCAGAGTCACCTGTGTTAGTCCCTCAGAGGTGTCGGTAAAAGGCTATCAGATGCGCTGGTGTGGGGTCCTCACAGGCGCCGTTGTGAGGGTCTTGGGGCTTAGAGACACTGGTGGGGGCCATCACTTAGGCGTGTAGGGGGCCCTGAAAGTTACTGGTGGCCCTTCATAGGCCGGCAAGGGACCCTCAGAGCCCAGAGGTCGGTAAGAGGCCCTCAGAGTCGCTGGTAAGCGACCGTCAGATGCGCTGCTCAGGGCCCTCGGAGGCGCCGGTGTGGGGGCTCTCAGAGCCGCCGAAATAGGCCCTTAAAAGGCACTGGTGTGGGACCCTTAGAGGTGGCAGTGGAGCAGGGGCGGATCCAGAAAATCTCCAAGGGAGGGGCCATTAGAAACCAGGAGGCCCCCCACCTGTTGGAGGCCCCATTTTCCCACTTGTTGGCCCCCCCCCCAAAAATGCGTCTATTGAGCTTATCTAGCTGTTCAGTGGATGCGAGTGGAGGCCCTCTGTGGAGATTAAGAGGTCCTGTGTTGGCGAAGAGGATATCTGTGCAGGCTTGGAGTCCCTCTGTGCAGGATAGGAGACCTTCTGTGTGAGTTAGGAGGCCCTCTGTGTTGGCTAGGAGGCCCTTTGTTCGGATGCGAGTGGAGGCCTCTGTGTAGGCTAAGTGATTTTGTGTTTGTTAGGACATCTGTGCAGGCTTGGAGGCCCTCTGTGCAGGTTAGGAGGCCCTGTAAAAGTGGTCATCTCTGTGAGTATAAGAGACCTCCAAGTTATGAAAAGCTTTACCAATCTTCTAACAAAGAAGTCTTCTCAGCTAGTCTTCTAAGAAATAACTAAGTGGATAGGTTAAAAAAAACTCATCGGATTTCGGCCACTTTATTTTCAGGAGGCCCCCTTTTCAGCTTTTTAACTTTTTATTTTATTTTTGAAAAAAATCGGCCAAGGGGGGGGGGCCATGGCCCCCATGGCCCCCCCCCTTGTATCCGCGCCTGCAGTGGAGGCCCTCGCAGGCGCCGTTGTGATGGCCCTCAGAAACACTGGTGTGGGCCGTGGGGCCATAGCAAACGGGTATGAGGCCCTTACAGCTTATCTCTCATTAGCCTTCAAGGACCCTCAAAGGCCGGCAAGGTCCCTCAGAACCTAGCGTGAGGCCCCTCTGGAGATAAGTGTGGCTACAGAAGAGCCCATGGGGTGTTCTCACAAGCCCTGTGGTCTCCTTTCCAGTTGAAGCGTTGCCAGCGCGGGCCCTCTGCCGCCAATTGGCACCGCAGGTCCTCTCGGGCCCGAGGGGACCCTAAACCCTATAAAGGACACGTGCTCCCTCGCCCCTGGCCATACCATTGAATCCAAGTGATCACGGGCCGTTCAGGTAATCAGGGGCCTCTCAGGTGACCAGGGGCCTTTTAATTGACCAGGGGCCCACCAGGTGACCAGGGGACCCTCTGATAACCAGGGGACGGTTATACTAGGAGCTCCAAGGGTAACTAAGGGCCTTAATGTGACTGCAGGGGCCCTTCATATAACCAGGTACTCCCCGGGTAAACATTGGCCCTTCAGGTGACCAGGGTTTCTTCAGACCACTGGCCAGGGGTCACCCAGGGGATCAGGGGCCCCTCAGGTAGCTAGGGGCCCTTTAGATAACTAGGGGCCCCTCAGGTAACCAGGGGCCCCTCAGATAACCAGGGGTCCCTCATATACCAAGAGGCCCCACTGGTAACCAGGGGCCTCTCAGAAAATCAGGGGCTCTCAGGCAATCACGAGCCCCTTAGGTAATCAGGGGCCCCTCAGGTAAGCAGGGGCCCCTCAGGTAACCATGGGCCTCTCAGATAACAAGGGCCACTCAGGTTACCAGGGCCCCCGTAGCCAGGGGCCCCTCAGGTAACCAGGAGTCCTTCAGATAACCAGGGACCAATCAGGTAACCAGGGGCCCCTCAGATAACCATGGGCCCCTCAGATAACCAGGGGCCACTCAGGTAACCAGGGGCCCCTCAGCTAACCAGGGACCCCTCAGGTGACCAGGGGGACCCTCAGGTAACCAGGGCGCCCCTCAGGGCCCCCATGGCCCCCCTTGGGTACGTCACTGCACTCAAGTGACCCAAAGGGCCCACTTGCATGTTTGATGCCAAAGGGGGAGGCCATGGCCTCTTGGCCTCCCCCCTGGATACGCCACTGAATAAAAGCATTTCTCAATGTTGTGAATGCCCAAGTGCAAGCCAGGAACCCCAATTTTGCTATCTCAACTCCAGACTAATGGTAACCCGGCGGCCATTGGGCCTCCGCGCTACCCGCCGCGCCGGCCGCTGGGAAGGGGGGAGGCAACTACTATGGACGTCAAACCCCTTGAGACCCCACTTTTTTGCGATAATTTTTAAATGCTTCAACTCTCGTTGACAATATTCTGGCAATGTGTGTTTCAGAACCTGCCGAAACTTTTATTACAAAGGTATTTTGACGCCAAACGATTATGAAAGGTACTTCTCATTCACTCGTAATGTTAAATTTCACGGAACGAATCTGCTGTTTGGGTAGAGGCTACGCGCTCGTGGGACGGAGCCACGTAATGACGTCAGCGCTAAACTCCGCCCTACCCCTCCGGCGCTCCTTGCCTGGCGACCGGTCACTCGCGTCTCGCGCTCCATTCAGGCTTGATGGTGGGCGGTAGTTGGTAGCGGTAGCGGGCGCTGGTAGATGACATTAAGAGCAGATGGCGCTGGTGGCGGGGCTCGAGTGTGGCCGAGCGCAAGCCTCTGCCCGGGCCTGAATTGACCTTAGCATTACGAGTGAACGAGAAGTACCTTTCATAATCGTTTAGCGTCAAAATACCTTAGTAATAAAAGTTTCGGCAGGTTCTGAAACACACATTGCCAGAATATTGTCAACGAGAGTTGACGCATTTAAAAATTATCGCAAAAAAAGTGGGTTCTCAAGGGGTTTGACGTCCATAGTAGTTGCCTCCCCGCTCTATTTCTCCGACGACATCGTCGCAACAGCAAAATATAGAGAAACGAAACTTTGCACACATATTCATGAATAGCTAGCCGAAGTTGTGTCCTTATTTGGTGTTAATCCGATTGGATATGACGTCACAGTGACGCCAGAAGTCCAACTATAGATTTGCGACTCTTACTTTCCTCGCGATATATCCGATATATTAGACCGAATATAAAAGACCGACCACTGGTCAAAAACTAGTTAAAAGTGTACTTAGATGTGTCAAGATGAGAGTAGATAATAAGTTCATTTACCGTTGAGTTTGACGCAGTGACATCAGAAACGCTCCTTATCGGAAAACGACAAAACTGTATGATGTCACTGACCACTGTGACGTTATCTAAAGCGCTACAACCACCAAACCTTTCTCAAATATGGCCTACGCATTCATATTTACCCGCATACCGACGGGGGTCCGCGCCAGCTTCGCACCGACGGGGGGGGGACAGATTTATTTATTTATTCATTTATTTCACAACATCGCCAACAGGCAGTGCCCATTGAGAGGCGAAGTCAAAAACATACGAATACATCGAAAGAAAGATTAGATAAGAGTCTACCAGCTTTGCATGCTACATGCCTACACCATAAAAGCATACAATAAAAATAAATATGGTGAAAATATATGTGCTATAAAAATATACCTCATATAAATAGGTATGACTAAACAATAAAAGTCCTATACACTAAGAACAAGACGCACTGTGATAAAAGAGATGACCCCCCCCCCCTAATGATGACCACTCCCCTAACAGATGACCACCCACAACAGATGACCACCCCCCTCCCCTAAGATCTCGAGAACAAAGCAAGATAGCGACAAGCGGTGAACGGCATGGGGTGCGCAGAGACAAGGTTAACAATTTGTACAGAGCTCATTTTCAGGTCAGGTCAAAGATGACGTCACAGGGGTAAAAAGTCAAAATAGCGGCGCTAGATATGAAGAGTTTTTCTCGAGTAACTTTTGAAGAAGCCAAGCTAGTAACAAACTAATGGCACAATGGTGACCCTCTCGTCAATCCACATCGAGTCATATATAAGTTGACCTCGAAAGGTCACAGTCAAAGCTTGACCTCAGGTCACATGACCTCAAGGTCATCATGCATAAAATTCGGTCGAGCTGATCACAATGAGGCCATCCGCACTGCTGTATCTCGTTCCTGTAAAGAGTTATTGGCAAAAAAAAACATTTGGTGGCCTTTGCTGACATCACATGACCTTACAGTTGCCCAACCTCGCAAAACACGCCTCAAAGTAGTGAATGTTGATCGTATATGAAGTTATTTATGGCATATTGGGCCATTCCGGCGCGTTTTAGTAAAAAACAACAACAGGGAGTTGATTTTTCCCCCATTGACGGGGAGGTCAAGAAATTGACTTGACCCTAGGTCACAATATCGAAATTCCGAGATAAGGCCTAAAAGGTGTCTGGAAATTACTTGGAAACTATTTGCATCTGACAAGAGACCCCAAGTACCTAAGGACAATGGAGCTTTTTCTTCTGTTGTGACACATATGCCAAAATCTCGCCATCAATTTGCGATAAAACAGCTTACCTTTAGTAAGTATTGTGTCGGCAGACGAGGCGTCGTAAATCTCTGTGATCCGCTCTGCTTTCGGACTCGACGGCTCCCTGTGAAATAAATAACGGATAAAGGCAGTACCGGAAAATAACTAGATATGCAATCTATACCTACTGACTATTAGTGGCAATTCCAGACATTATTTCACGGGTTTCCAAGTCGGAGTCGAAGCGAGCCAGCCCATTTGTAACAAAGGTCAGGAGACGGAGTTGGAGCGAGCCGAACAAGCTGCATCGACTCCGATTCAGGAACGCTGAACAGATTCTTAAGGCCTGGCTACACTATGCGTTTTCTGCGTGCGTTTTTTGCGAGTTTGCGTGATTTGCGGAATATCGTTCTAGAAAGAAACGACATTACGTTTTTGTTATATGTTTTTCATATAAACTTTTAATTAACATAAACGTTGTGTTAATTTCTATATAAATATTGAAGAAGTTTAATTAATAATAAACTTTTTTCTAGGACGATATTACACAAAACCCGCAAACACGCAAAAAACGCACGCAGAAAACGCATAGCGTAGCCAGGCCTTTAGGCATCACCTTTCCACACGTGCTTGTTTCGTGCGTTTGAAAAATAAAACGCATGTTATGAAATGATTGCGACAATAATTTCTCATTATAGTACAGGGTGTCCAGAAAAAAAAAGATACTACGGAAATTAAGTCGCATTAATTAACGCACGTGCCGATTTCTTTCCAACTTCATGTGCTTATAGTGCAAGATGTGGCAAAACTCATGCGCACTGTAATACGTCGTTGGAAAGTTGTCTGCCTGCCCTCCGAGATGGTCAACATGACCATCAGTCACCTGCAGACTGTGCTAGTGCTGGAGCTGATCCGCCGGAAGGCCGCTCACATTGAGAATCTGCTTTGAGGAGCTGCCGTGACTGACCAAATGGTTTACATGTCATGTGGCACCTGCTGTCTGTTTTGCCATATTTTTGCGAATACAAGCATGTGCCATTTTATAATGTGCGGTGTTTATTTTTGGAATTACAGCAAAAAATAATAGTATCCGTTTTTTCTGGACACCCTGTACATTTTTGCCACCGACGCATGTTAAAAAAGTTCAGTTAAATTTTTGTATAAAGGTGGCCTGCTGAAAGGCTGAAGCGCGAGAGACGGTTAATTTCAGTCGACGCCAAAACTCGGAAATGCCTATCAAAACCCATGCATAAAAACACGGCGGTTAATTTCATTATGCGGCAGTTTTCTTCTTTTCAAAAGCTCCCTGTTAAACAATGCATTCGATGACTAAACTTCAATAAAAGTCCGGTCATAGAAGCTTGCAGCTTGGAATAAAATAAATTGCGAAACAGGTTGACAGGTGAATTTGGAAAAGAACACAGCCTTAATGTAATGACTTTTCGTATGCATTTCAAAGAGATGGCTTAGCAGGTTACGCAGAAATTTAGAAGGCAGATTTCGAGGTACACCTAGTTCTCAAGAGCCAGTGAAAAGAGCAATTGAAGATGAACCTTACAAAACGGGAAGAACAGCACTGTCAGGAGCCAGTGTTTGTAGTAAGATAGACGTTTGTTATCATACCTTCATGGATATTGGATGTCAAAACTCAAAACATAGGAAAGAGGAGGGAATGCAACGACATCACATTTCCCCACTAATGAAGACAAAACATGTCTCCGCAACGCCTACCCCTCACTCGCTTCGTAGCATGAATGTCTAATAGAAGTAGGTAACAGACGCGTCTCGCATGTTTACCAGGAAATATCTGAGAAATGAGGGATGAATTTCAAGCAAAATACGACATGGTAGGCAATTTACCATTTGTATAGGTATACTGAAACCAAGTTATAGATTAATTTCGTTATTCACCCATCGTGTGTTAAAGTCCATTGGCAATAATTTTCATTATACGCCCAAAGCTTTACCCATTTGCTGCCCCCCCCCCCCATCTCCCGTGCCCCTCCTTGATGTCGAAGCCCAAAAGCGAACCCTTTCTCAGAGATGCGTTGGTGCTAGGTGCCAAAAATTTACTATAATAAATTTAATTACCCGGTCCGAATACTATACCAGCCATGATACGGTCGCTTTTCCTCAAGGGTGTTTTCATTGAATATGCTCGCAGGCTCGCACATTCAATGCGAAAATTGCACTCATTTCATTCGTGCAATTTTCGAAAATAGCATCCTCACTCCGTTCGGACGCTATTTTCGATAAAATAATGTCCTCACTTCGTTCGGACATTATTTTAAAACACCCTTGGGAAAGCGACCGAATAATGTCTGGTATAGTGCTCGGACCGGGCAATTAAATATATATTGTGACAGACAATAATTTCAAGCGTAAGTAAATCATGCCAAATTTAATGCCTACAATGACCTGCAAACAGTTAATTGCACAAGTCCCATGAAATTAGTTATACAATACACAGCCCCCTTTCCTGACCTAAAGGATAACACGCACGTCTCGTAGCGTACGGTGGCAGTGAGTTCTCGGTCGGATAGCCTCCAGTCATTTAAACCGCGTTTCTAGGTATATCATTCACATTCGGCCAGCTGGCAAGTGGTGAGAGGGCCACGCTAGATCCGGGAGGGCCGTGCCACCATCTACCTGAGATACGTTAAGATTCCCATGAAAACTATCACCGGTGAGCCGGTAGCAGGCAACACTGGTGGTGGGTTTGTGGTGTCATTCGTAACCAGCACTGCTTAGCGTGGCACCGGGAACCAAAAGCTTTTACAGGGTGGGGCAGAAAGATTTACCTCTTGATTTTTGAAAATATTTCGGTCCAGAACTAAGATATTCAAATGATTTTTGGTACACGTATTCAGTAGCATGTACACATCTCAGCAACGGCACTATGAACCAACATGGCCACCTTTAGTCTTCACCCCTGCCCCGAAACCTCCCCCTGCGGAGAGGCGCGAGCGCCGCACGGTGTCCTCGTCGAAATTCGACCATGCCGTCTCGAGGGCCAGCTTCAGAGCGGCGATGCTGCTGTGTGGTGTTGCGCACATCTCGCTCTCCAGGATGGCCCAGGTGGTGAAGTCCATCGGGTTCAGGTCTGGACTTGATGGTGGCCACATGTCCTTGTCCCAGAATCCAGGCATGTGGGTCTTGCACCACTGTTAACCCGCGCGGGGCTGGGGTCTCCAGCCGAACGCGCGGGGCTGGGGGGGGGTAAATTTTACCCCCCCCCCCCTGTTATCTCCCGAACTAATGGTCCGATTTGGAAAATTCAAACGCCAATCGAAAGCTCTCATCACGAACTACTAAAAACATGTACTTAATTTAAAGTTTGAGGTCAAGGTCAAGGTCAGGTCAAGGGTACAAATTGCAAGTTTCTACAGTATCGGCCTTGCACCGTAGTTGCCGAAGAATGGAGTCATGGACTGAGACTGATCGCCCAAAACGTGTTCTTAGGCTACCAAGACAATATTCGTTGCATACAATATCATTCAGAGGTCAAGGTCAAGGTCAGGTCAGGTCAGGTCAGGTCACCAAAAAACAAAATATAGAAAAGGGCATGTGCGACACATGTTTTATGGGTCATTTTACTCATAGAATTCAATAGGCACACTCAATAAGTGATATGGACCACCTCTGGATGAATTTCAGGTCGAGGTCAGGTCAAGGTCAGGTCAAGTGAGGTCAAATTTTGAAGTTGGTTGTTAAGGCCTAAAATGGTGTCTATCTGATGCAGTTTTTCACGGCGAATCGAATGGTGCTATTTTTGTTTCCGTACGAGGTCTAGAACTTCCAAAAAAGTCATTTTTCAAAAAAATTGTGTATCGTGACGTCATAAAATTTTGAATAACTCCCACATTTTTGAACCGATTCTTCTAAAATTTGGTATGTAGGTGCACATAGACCACTTCTCTGACATATATTCCGGTTTTTTCGATAGACTCAAAATTTTGGATTTTATAATGATTTTCCCAAAAAAGTCAGTTTTTTGAAAAAATTTAGGTCAAAATCCAAAATTTTCAAAAAACCGAGATAGCCATTTGATAGACAAAGTAAAATTACGTATAACCTTTTTTTTACGTTTTGATTCCTTTATAAATGAAGATGTTAGCGGCGTTTGAACTTTTGCCGTTTTTGAGGCGAAAATGGCGAACATGACGTCACTAAAACGTCAATTTCTAAAAAAAAATTCCAACGGATTTCGCTCAAATTTTCAGGGAACGTGTCAAATTGATGTAAGAAAAGGTACTGAAAGTTTGGCGGCGCTGCGCGCCGCCGTTTTTAAGATATCGCAAAAATTCGCGAGGGGGGTAAAATTTACCCCCCCCCCCCAGCCCCGCGCGGGTTAAGTGAAGTTGGCCGTATGAGACGACGCAACGTCCTGGACGACGACGTATCCGTCTCGGAACGACTGAGCGATCCAAGGCAGAGCATGTTCCTCTAGCAGATGGACATAAACGTGTGAACTGACTTTCACACCCGCCTCGATGAAGATCAAGGGTCCTTTTGAGCCGTCGGATGCGACGGCAGCTCAAATCGTGACACCAGCAGGGTTGTGGCGACCAAAACTGGCCTGGATAGCAGGATTAATGCTGCATGTACCATCTGCCAAGATTACGTCGCCTTGAGAGTTCATCTGGGGCTGAACCGTGGAAATCTTTTTATCAGATCAGCGGAAGACCTTGCTACCGGCGCTTCTGATTTCCTCCAATATCTTTTGGGCCCTGTGAAGCCGCCTCTCCTTGGATGCCGCCGAAATTAGGTGTCGACGTTGCATCGTGTACGACTCAAGGCTCAAAACGTCGTTTATGATTCTTCTGATCGTTTTGGGCGAAAAATCGAGGTCCTTTGCCAGTTTGCGCAATGCGAATGTTTCGCCAAGGATTTCGAGACACCATCTTGTGTACGATATCAACCAGCTTTTTGGTGCGGAAATGTCTTGTTCTGCCTGGGATGGGCTTCGTCGACACTGTACCTGTCCCTTTAAGGCATTTCATTAGATTGTTAACAGTTTTCATGGCAACACCGAGCTGTTTTGGAACGCTTCGGACGCTGTGGCCAGCCTGCATCGGCGCCGCAACTTGGGCTCTTTTTGTAATCTCCGCCGTAGCTCATAAACAACCACGACGGAATTAAAACCGATCAGAACAATTATACACGAATCAGTTGGGAAGCCGCATGCAAAATTTTACTAAAATCCGTCCAAAACTTTTTGAGTTATGGGCTAAAAACAAACAGGTAAATCTTTCTGCCCCACCCTGTACCTACCCATCGATTCAGACTATTTCTTTTCATATCCCATTCCCCGGTCGGGGTCTCAGCCAACTTCGCCATGGTGACGAGGGTATTTGGCCACAGCAGGTCATCTCGGAGCTAACTACGTGAGCTAGAAAGACGCGGAAAAAGCGATAAATAGGTCGCTGTAAGATCTTTTATAGAGTTGGCAAAAGATGAAAATTTTGGGAACCAGACTCGAACCAGACCCGGCTGGACATTTCTGGAACCAGCCGGACCCGGTCTTAGTTGGAACCGGAACCAGTTGGACCCGTTCCCCAAAAGCCAATTAATACAAACTACTTGAAGGAATCATTAGTTGCATCATGTAAAACAGCCTATTTCCCACTGGGAATACTCATGAGCTACTGTGTGCAAAGAAACATTCACTTCATATTCTGCAATAATGTGTAGTGTGCAAGATGTATAGTTTATGGTGGGACCCGGTTGGACCCGTCAGAAAATATCCAGGAACCGGTCTGGACCCATATGGGTCCAGACTCCAGACTGGTTCTTTGGACCGGGTCCTCGGGTCCACATTTTGCCACCTCTAATCTTTTAAAACCAAACAGGTCATTATTCCATCAGGTCATTGCTAAGGTCGCTGGAGCCTGGATGTCAATAATGTTAATCAAGAGCGTTCAAATCAAGAGCAATTTTTCCGATTTTGACATTTTTCACAAATCGGCGCACAACTCAGGAACTAATAGAGATACAGCGCTGCGGAAAGGCTCACTCCATAGCTCTTTCAATGCTCTTTCTAAATAATACCCCGATATTTGACCTAGGGTCAACAGTTTTGCCTGCCAGCGGGCAAAACTCAAATATGGCGTTTTTAAGGAAAATGTTTATGCTGCAACTTTTGACACCGTGTGTAAATTACCTTCATTTTACCTTACCGGCATCGCCTTTCTCTCGTTCAGACGCACGTCGAATGAACTATAATTTGACCTGAGAAGGTCACATTCAAAATTTGACCTACGTTCAAGGTCATGTAAAAGGTCATGTGACATATCAAACTGTATCATTGAGCTGAACGCAGCTAAGGTATTATCATCGGTCTAGCAGGTCTCTATTTAAAGCTCTTGTCTGCTAGAAAAAAAAACTGCTGGTGACCTGTCATGACCTGAGATGACCTAAGGGGAATAGAGAGGGGTCACAAGTACCACTTTGCGATTCATACTGTTAGGTTTACCTACATCCCAATGTTTGAGAGTTTAAGTAGACTTCCATCAAGAGAAGAGCAGACCAATTTTCTCCCATTGACTCATCTACAATGAACACTGGAGAGGTCACAAGATTGACCTGACCTAAGGTCATTGATATAAATGCTTCGAGATACACAGCTCGTTGATTGATTCCTCATGCAATGCCTCGTGTTTCAAAGTTCTGGGAAATAAACTGTAGGAATCACAGAGACAGAAACTTTTTTTGAGGCATAATCACTTAAATTGACCTGGTGACCTGACTAGTGATGTCACTTACGGAAAATCGGAATACCGATACCAAACCAAATACCAACCAAAACCACGGGAAAATACCGAAACCAAACCAACTTGGGAAAAGCGAGGGAAATACCAACTTTTTACCGATTTCTTAGCCTCTTATACATAAGTGAGGGCTTATGATACCAACAAAATACCAAACACATTACGATTGAAATACCAAATACCAAGTTGGTATCGGTTTGGTATCGGTATACCAAAAAGTTGGTATCCGATTGACATGTCTAGACCTGACCTTGTGCAAACTGTTACCAGAGGTAAATAAAAAACTACACACGATCTGAAATTACTTTATTATGAAATATACCAATTTCACGGGACTGCGGGTCGCCGTTTTCTTTACAAACGTAAAAGACTGGCAGGTGTGACTACCCCCCCCCCCCCCGCCAAGTACCCACCTCTTCACCTGTACAAGGGCAAATTGATAGGTGGATACAATATCAGACAATCATGGGAGTTGAGGGTGCCCGAGCGCAGCAAATCCGCCGCCGCCTTAGCAGTGACCTTGACCCGCGCCGTATGTTGGGGCTCCAAAGCCAAGCCGGCCGAGCCGGCGGGGCGGCGGGGAATATAGAGAGCTTGGGCACCCCCAACCCGGCGGAAATCGACACCTATGATTGCAGACAATGGACATACCTTTCTTGTTTTAAAAACTGCATAGCTTGGTCTGATGGAGAGCAATCTTCTGTCACTGATGGACGCGTGATGATGATGATGGTGAATTGGGGTTTTTGGGCGGCCGGACTACAGTGGTCATCGGCGCCCATCACTGATGGATGACGCAGATCCTGAATGAACAATGGAAGAACATCACTAGCGGAGTATGGGCAACTTCATGATGTCACAAATAATAACATAGGTACCCAGCAAAACAAATATTAACCCTCGCCGGCACAGGGGGAGGGGGTGATGCAACCCCCCTAAGGTTTTTCGCGAATAACTCGCGTAAAAAGCGGCCGATCGCGACGAAACTTTCAGTACACTCGCATTGATCAATTTTACACCTACCCTAAAAATTTCATGACCCTGACCCCAATGAACTTTGACCTGTGACCTCTTTTCCGTGACCATGTTTGGCCGAAATCGCGATTCGGCGTATGTCGGCTCGCATTAGCCGCGCGTTTGCAAGCTTTTCGTGGTTTCAAACGTTCGAACATGTGTTTTGATGTTGCTCCCATACATTAGGGTGGGTGTCAAGGTCACCTGAAGGTCAGGTCAGGTCATTGGCCTTTGGTGACCTCGGGTGACCTCGGTTCACTTTTTCGAGGTTTACATGTTTCTATGCTAGTTTTTGGAGCTGAATTCGAATTTAGCAACCATTTGAACATTTACGAAGTAGTTTTGGTGCCTTCGTAACATGTTACGAAGCTGTCAGAGGCGGTTGACACGTATTACGAATACTGGTCACATCCCCTACCGGTTGACCTGACCTGACCTGACCCGACCTGGTCTAAATGCTTAACCCTCACCCGCACATGCCATTTTCCCATCCTAGAACGCACATGGGGGGGGTTGCCACCCCCCCCCCCGCGCCATTTCGTTCCTGTTGGAGATAGAGCTTAGCGGTAAAGACCAAAAAGATTTTTTGGCAAAATTGGCAAAAAAAAAGGAAAAAAACATTTGGCAAAACTGCTCCAAAATACGAATTTTACAGCCCGTGTAACAAGCTTGATACCAGAAAACCGTAGGTCAGGAAAACCAAGTCAAGTAGTCAAGTCGCCTCAAAATTTTGTGGTCCTGTCAACCGTATAGCTTATTTCTTAGAAGCTGGAAATTTAGTGTAGCAGTGACTGCAGAAGTGTGGGGTCGGAGCTGGAATCAGTCGGAGTTGACTGTTTTGGCCAGTTTTGGCCAGAGTCGGTGTTGAAGTCTTCGAAAATGTTCGGATTTTGACTTCGAGGTCGGATTGGTGTAAAGTCATGCTCTTGGCTGGTTAGACGAAATATATTAGGCCCGTGTTCGGCCAGTCGACACACGTTGATCACGATATCAAAAATCGGCAGTTCCGCGATGACAGGTCGGATAAGAGCTGGAGATTTTGTTGGCCGAGGTGGCAGAGGTCAGATCAATGCATGTAGGCCCACACCCCATATACTGAGTATCTAAACGTCTTGGACCCTCTCAGATTCGGCACCGGCCGTTTCATCTCTTCCATCCTCAGGACAGTCAAATCCTTCTCCTCCACGCCGCAACCCCCTGCTCCGGGCTGGACGGGCAACTCTATCCCATGCGGGAATGGCTCCACTGGAGCTATAGTCCTTTGCCGGGTGCAGTGAGTGCCAGTGGGCTGGGCTGCCTGTTCAATTGGTCGGGTTCATCCCAAGTGGCTCACTGGGGTGGCTGCCCCGACCAATGTCTCCCACTAATTCTTTCATACTTGCGGCTCTGAATTGGTCTCATTGGACCGAAGGGCCTAATCAAATTTCGAGTAGGATAACAACCAGTAAAACGCCTTTTGAGGCGACCAAGGGAGCGAGCGAGAGGGTGGGGTGGGCCTTGCACGTGCGAAATTGCGAGGGGATACCTCCAACTAACTTGTGCACTGCACCCTTCTAACCGGTCCCTAACGATGTGCCAAATTTGAGCGCAATCGGCCTAGCCGTTCTCGAGATCTGGAATCGACCCCTGCATGTGCGCACGTGCAGCAGCACCCCAACCAGTGGCGTACGCACATACAGGACATTCCGTGCATGCCCTGTCCCTTTGGCTCATCGTCCCCGGCGCCCTCAGTGACTGGCGCCCCTCTGTCCAGTGTTGGCGCTCCTCCAGTCGATAGCGGCGCGCTTCTAGTTGATGGCGAAGCCCCTCTGTCCAGTATTGGCGCTCCTCTGGTGATAGTGGCGCCCTCCTAGACGATATGGTGGGCCGGTGGCGCCCCTTTGTCCAGTATTGGCGCCCCTCCAATCGATAGCGTCGCGCTCCTAGATGATGGTGCAGGTGGCGCCCCTCTGTCCAGTGTTGGCGCCCCTCCAGTCGACAGTGTCGCGCTCTTATGTAGATGATGGCGGCGCCCCTCTGTCCAGAGTTAGCGCTCCTCCAGTCGATAGCAGCGCGCTCCTAGATTATGGCGGCGCCCCTCTGTCCAGTATTGGCGCCCCTCCAGTCGACAGTGTCGCGCTCCTAGATGATGGTGGCGCCCCTCTGTCCTGTGTTGGCGCCCCTCCAGTCGACAGCGACGAGCTCCTAGATGATGACGGCGAACCCTCTGTCCAGTCTTGGTGCTCCTCCAGTGATAGCGGTGCCCTCCTAGATGATGGTGGCGCCCTTCTGTCCAGTGTTGGCGCTCCGGCTCCTCTGGTGATAACGGCGCCCTCCTAGACGATGGTGGCGCCCCTCTGTCCAGTGTTGGCGCCCCTCCAGTCGATAGCGGTGCGCTCCTAGATGATGGCGGCGCCCCTCCAGAGTTGGCGCTCCTACAGTCGGTAGCGGCGCGCTTCTAGATGATGGCGGCGCCCCTCTGTCCAGAGTTAGCGCTCCTCCAGTCGATAGCAACGCGCTCCTAGATGATGGGGCGCCCCTCTGTCCAGTGTTGGCGCCCCTCCAGTTGACAGCGACGAGCTCCTACATGATGACGGCGAACCCTCTGTCCAGTCTTGGCACTCCTGCAGAGATAGGGTGCCCTCCTAGACGAAGGTGGCGCCCTTCTGTCCAGTGTTGGCGCCCCTCCAGTCGATAGCGGTGCGCTCCTAGATGATGGCGGCGCCCCTCTGTCCAGAGTTGGCGCCCCTCCAGTCGATAGCGGCGCGCTTCTAGATGATGGGGCGCCCCTCTGTCCAGTGTTGGCGCCCCTCCAGTCGACAGCGACGAGCTCCTAGATGATGACGGCGACGCCCCTTTGTCCAGTCTTGGCGCTCCTTCAGTGATAGCGGTGCCCTCCTAGACGATGGTGGCGCCCCTCTGTCCAGTGTTGGCGCTCCTCCAGTCGATAACGGCGCGCTCCTAGATTATGGCGGCGCCCCTCTGTCCAGTGTTTGCGCTCCTCCAGTCGATAGCGGCGCTCTCCTAGATGATGGCACCTTCCCGGCTCACTGGTGTCCTTCTGATCAGAGGGCGCCCTCCCGGCTCACTGACGTGCTTCTGACCAGAAGGCGCCCTCCAACTCACTAGCATGCTTCTTATCAGAAGGCGCCCTCACGGCTAATTGGAATGCATCTCCTCAGAGGGCGCCCTCTCGACTTACCGGCATGGTTCTGTTCAGAAGGCGCCCTCTCCACTCACCGGCGTGCTTCTGATCGTAAGGCTCCCTCCTGACCCACTGGCGTGCTTCTGATCGTAAGGCGCCCTTCCGACTCACCGGTGAGGTACTTGTTATCAGAGGTCGCCCCACCGACACACTGACGTGCTTCTGATCAGAGGGCGCCCTCCCGGCTCACTGGCGTGCTTCTGGTCAGAAGGCGCCCTCCGACTTCATGAGTATGGTGTCAGTTATGGGATATGTAGAAATGCTGCAGCTCTAGTCTCTGAATAGCTCCCATGGCCATGTTCCTAATCTTATAGCTTGATGATAAAGTTATTTTATTATTATAGTATTATAACATTCTTATAGTTATAAGACTTGAACCTATCTGTATTTTTTCTTCTAAATCCAACATTTATTTTCTATAGCCAATAAACCAGGGTGTATTAAGAACAATAAACATCGTTAATTTTTATGATAGTACTTGTAGTTGTCTGATATTTCGGCTGTTTTCTGCTTTCCTAACAAAAACCGTTAACGGCTGACGCTTTCCGAGACGCTGGGTCGGGCTCAAAATTCAAATTTAGGGCGAAGTGTTACATTTTGTAAATATGTGCACCTAATGGTGAGAGAAGTCCCTCGTAGGGAGTTGGAAGTTTCATATTTTTTGAACATATATGTCACTGTGAGAGGTGTCACTCGTGGGAAGCAAGTTTTATGAGAAATGTTCCGTAGAAACCGCCGCATCATTTTAGGAGTGAGACGTCCCTCGTGGGGAGTTTATAGTGCTATATTTTGTGGATATATGCCAAGGTGAGAGATGTCCGTCGCTGGGTGTTAGTGGTAGGTATATTTTGTAAATATATAGCACTGTGAGCAAAATACTTTGCTTTTTGTAATCGGCTATTTGATGACATGTCTTGCGAGAGCACATTTCGATTCAGTTTAAGGGCGTTTGAAGAAAAACACAATTGCTATTACATATTCGACCGCAGACGTGACGGAGATACTCCTACGGAGTACGGAGTAGCGCCGATAGATAAGAGTAAAGCCGGCTCTCAGTGAGGAAATCATATTGAATGTAGCAATGCACATGACACCAGTAATACAAAATAGCAACGGAACAGTGATGCAACGCGCACCACAGACTCACCCAGAATGCTCGGCCGCGACACTTTCACGTTCGCAGTTATGAGTTATGTTCGTACCGCACGTGTACCGCTGCCTGAGGCTGATCAATGTGTACGCATGTACAATGTCAGTTATGTTCGTTCCGCACGTGTACGAACATAACTGACACATTCAAGTTTCAGATATGTGGCGCCCTCCTTGTTGTTGGCGCCCTCCTTGATTGGCGCCCTCTCTTCCAATGCCCTGGTCCTTCGCAAATTCCTGGGTACGCCACTGACCCCAACTGTGGCACATGGATATGCATTGCCTAGTGGGTATACCTACCTACATGCCAACTTTCAGCGCAATCGGCCCAGTAGTTGCCGAGATATTGAAATTGTTACAAAACTGTCACCTCTTCGTTTTTCAATATGGGGTCACTCACATGCATCGGGAATAGTCCGATAATCGTTAGAAGGAATGAATCCCTACAAAAATTACCGATTCCATGACGGTTTTTCGTCCAGCAGATTTTCGTCGGACAATTTTTCGTCCGCAGATTTTCGTCCGACTTTTTTTCGTCTCGCATTTTTTCGTCTGTACAAATTTTCGTCCGTGCATTTTTTCGTCTGTACATTTTTTCGTCTGTACATTTTTTCGTCCGGACATTTTTTCGTTCGTATATTTTTTCGTCTGTGCATTTTTTCGTCCGGACGTTTTTTCGTCTACAATTTTAACGTAACGTAACGTAACGTAACCTAACCTAACCTAACCTAACCTAACCTAACCTTACCTACTGATGTTTGCCTACCGGGGGATAAGGAAAAAGTTACTTGCATGAATAGATTGCAAGCAATGGTAAGTCAAATATTTTCAGGTTAAGTGGTTATGCATCAGGCTTCAGGCCTTCGGCCTGAAGCCAGATACACAACCACTTAACCTAAAAATATTTGACTTACCATTGCCTGTAATCTCTCCTAAGGCATTGCCTTCGGCACTGCACTGCTTCGCCCCGAGTATTATTATGACGTCATTTGCCTCACAGTTGAATAGCATTGTAGTATGTTTTCACTCAACCTTGAGTGCACAGACGTAAAATTTATTGAACGAAGAAATGTCCGGACGAAAATATGTACAGACGAAAAAATATACGAACGAAAAAATGTCCGGACGAAAAAATGTACAGACGAAAAAATGTACAGACGAAAAAATGCACAGACGAAAAAATGTACAGACGAAAAAATGCGAGACGAAAAAAAGTCGGACGAAAATCTGCGGACGAAAAACTGTCCGACGAAAAAATGTCAGACGAAATTTTGTCCGGACACGAAATTTAACCTACGAAAGACTACGCTCGCTGTCCCCCTTCCATTCTGAGAGTGGGGGGACGCGTCCCCCCGTCCTCCCGGTGGCGGCGCCCATGATTATATGTCCTCGAGTGTCGAAATAGGCGAAACTTTTCCTTCGATGAACATGACGACGTAGGCTTTGGTCTGAACTGCAACATGACTGAAGTAATTTCTCCATGATTTTCAACGCTCTTTAGAAAGCCACCTACCGCCGCGCTTGTCGCTACGTGACCCTGGAGTCAGGTTAGAAGGGAATATTCAAACACCCCTCAGGGTCGTAAAACTGGAAAGCCTGGCCCCTGCTCTGCGGGGCGCGGTCGAGCTCGGCTAGGGCCAGTTTGGCTCGGCGTTTACAAACCCACGCAAAGCCCTCAAGAGTCTGCATAGAGTACCTACAGGCTACAGGCCTTCCAAGACTTGGGGATTTAGGTATCGACAATCGACATGGTGTTTTGAGACCTGCGTGGCGGCTATCAGAGGCCGGTGGGCCCCTCAAAAGCCGGTGCAGGAGCCCCAGGTGTCAGTTTGGAGCCATCATGGACCGAAGTAGGGTCCTGGATAATACCTAGGCGTCAAATCCCTAGACGTCGGGGTGGGGCCGGACGGTGAGGCAGGCACAGGCCTGAAGAGAAGAGGAGTTTTCAGATGTCGGCTTGGCATCTTAAGGGCCCTGCATGACTTTCTCAGAGGCTGACATATCGTCCTGCGAGACCTCCATTAGCCTCAAAAACTTCTATGGGCCCCCTCACGCCTGGGGTAGGCTTCCTCATTGTCAAGCATAAAATCTCTGAGTCTTGAGATGGGCCCATTAGACATGAACTGGGCCATCAATATACAAGTGGTGAGTTGACCTATATCAGGCACGATATCGGCTCAATCAGGATTGAGATAGGCCCTCTCAGACCCAGACCAGGCACGGAGTACGGACCCTCCCACACATAGGATGATTCTTTAATTCCTGGGATGAGCCTTCTCAGGTCTGAACTGGGCCCTCTCAGACCTGAAATGGGCCCCTCTCAGGCCTGAAGTGGACCCTCTCAGGCCTCAAATAGGTCTTCTGACCTCTAGGGCCTGAAATGGGCCCTCTCAGGCCTGACACTGACCCTCTCAGACCTGACATTGACCCTCTCAGACCTGACATTAACCCTCTCAGACCTGAAATGGGCCCTCTCAGGCCTGAAGTGGACCCTCTCAGGCCTCAAATAGGTCTTCTGACCTCTACGGCCTGAAATGGGCCCTCTCAGGCCTGACATTGACCCTCTCAGACCTGACATTGGCCCGCGCTTGTCGACCCGAAATGGGCCCTCTCAGCCCGGAAATGGTCCCTATCACGTCGAAAAAGGGCCCCCCATACCGTAACTGGGCCCTCTTAGGTCTGAAATGGTGCCTCTTATGCCTGAAATGGGTCCCTCTCAGGCCTCAAACGGGCCCTTTCAGGCCTCAAACTGGCCCTCTGTGCAGGGGCGGATCCAAGGGGGGGTCACATGGGTCATGGCCCCCCCCCCTTGAGGCCCGGGGGCCCAAAGACCTGCCAGGGGCACCACCGGCCTATCAGGGGTATCAGAGTCCTGACAGGGGCACCACAGGACCACCAGGGGCACCACAGGCCTAGCAGGGACACCACGGGCCTGGTGCCCCTGGGCCCTGACAGGACTGTAACGCCCCTGGCAAGCCTGAAGTGTCCCCGGCAGGGACGTGGTGCCCCTGACAGGCCTGAGGCGCCCCTGCAAGGCCGGTGGTGCCCCTGGCAGGCCTGTGGTGTCCATGGTAGGCCTGTGGTGCCCTTGCTAGGCCTCTGGTGCCCCTGACAGGCTTGTAATGCCCCTGGAAGGACTGTGGTGCCCCTGGGGCCTGACAAGCCTGAGGTGCCCGGCCATGACAGGCCAGTGGTGCCTTGCTAGGCCTGTGGTGCCCCTGGCAGGCCTGTGGTGCCCCTGGCAGGCCTCTGGTGCCCCTGACAGGCTTGCGGTGCCCTTGGAAGGACTGTGGTGTCCCTGGGCCCTGACAACCCTGAGGTGCCCCTGACAGGCCCGTGGTGCCCTTGTTAGGCCTGTGGTGCCCCTGGCAGGCCTCTGGTGCCCTTGCTAGGCCGCTGGTACCCCTGCGCCCTAAGAGGACTGGTGCCCCTGAAAAGTCTGAAGTGCCCCTCGGCAGGCCCGTGGTGCCCCTGACAGGCCCAAGGTGCCCCTGCGAGGCCGGTGGTGCCCCTGGCAGACCTCTGGTGCCCCTGGCAGGTCTGTGGTGCCCCTGGCAGGTCTGTGGCGCCCCTGGCAGACCTGTGTTGACTGGTGCCCCTGCTAGGTCGCTGGTGCCCCTCACAGACCTGTGGTGCCCCTGGGCCTTGACAAGCCTGAGATGCCTGGCTATGACAGGCTCGTGGTGCCCCTGATAGACCAGTGGTGCCCTTGCTAGGCCTGTAGTGCCCCTGGCAGGCCTCTGGTGCCCCTGCTACCCCTGCGCCCGGCCGAGGACTATGGTGCCCCTGAAAAGCCTGAAGTGCCTCTCGACAGGCCCGTGGTGCCCCTGACAGGCCCAAGTTACCCCTGCAAGGTCGGTGGTGCTCCTGGCAGGCCTCTGGTGCCCCTGGCAGGTCTGTGGTGCCCCTGGCAGGCCTGTGTTGACTGGTGCCCCTGCTAGGCCGCTGGTGCCCCTCACAGGCCTGTGGTGCCCCTGGAAGGACTGTGGTGCCCCTGCCCCTAGGGGTGCTCATGGGCCCAACAGGCCCGTTGTGCCCCTGACAGGCCTGTCGTGTATACTTGCTAGACCTGTGGTGCCCCTGCTTCCTGGCGGGCCTGTGGCGCCCCTACAAGGCCGTAGGTGCCCCTGACAGGTTTGTGGTGTCCCTGGAAGGACTTTGGTGCCCCTGACAAGCCTGAAGTGTCAAGGACAGACCCTTTAGACGCCAGGGTCAAGTTCGTCGGACTGACAACGATTCGCTTACCTGATAACGTTCCTGGTAAGTACTCACTACTCAGCGTCCACAACATATATACACATAGCACATTCATATATACTTGCTTACAATTGGTAAATGTGGTTGTGGCAAAAGTTAAGATACTGACTAAAAATAAAAATTAAAAAGAAAAAAAAACTGAAAATGGGGGCACCACCAAAATGAAGTGGACGAAATCCGTTGAGTTTTTAATTTTGGGTATAGGTAGGGGCACCACTTCGATTCATGACCCTCCCCTTGGAGTTTTCCTGGATCCGCCCCTGCCTCTGTGGCCCCAAACGGGCCCTCTCTGGCCTCAAACGGGCCCTCTAGGGCATGAAATGGGCCCTCTCAAGCTTGAAATGGGCCCCTCTCAGGCCTGAAATGGACCCTCTCAGACCCCAAACATGCCCTCTAGGGGCCTGAAGTGGACCTCTTCAGGCCTGAAATGGGCCCTCACAGACATCAAATGGGCCCTCTCAGGCCTGAAATGGGCCCTCTCAAGCTTCAAATGGGCCCCTCAGGCCTGTAATGGGCCCTCACAGACCTGAAATGGGCCCTCTCAGGCCTAAAATGGCCCTCTCATGCCATGGAACGGGCCCTCCTATGTAGGCCTTGGATTAGCTCAATCGGGCCTTTGATGTACCCTCTTAAAGGGACCCTCCCACCTTCAAAAAAGTTAATGAATTGGCATGAAAGTGATGTCCCTTGGTTCAGAAAGAGCGAAAACGAATATCTACCAAATTTCACCGAAAAATATTCACTGGTTTTCAAGATATTAGGCTTTTACTTTTGTTTACTTTTTGGGATCTCCCCTGTTACTAGCAACTTTATTTGGAAGCAATAATTTGGCAGCCTTAAAGTGCGGCAGACGTTGCGCGCAAAGCAGCGTATACCACCACGTGTTAACGATGGTGTACACCGTTCCGTGCTTCTATCCTCAGGATACTGAAATCCTTCTCCTCCACGCCGCAACCACCCTCCGGGCTGGACAGGCAACTTTATCTCATGCGGGCTGCTCCCTCGGAGCGGCACCGCTGCTCCTGAGGGAGCGCACCCCGTAGCCGGGTGCAGTGAGTGCCTTGGGGCTGGGTGGCCTGTCCTCTGGACGGGCTCAGCCCCGGCGACTCACTAGGGTGCCTGCCCAGACCAATGTCTCCCCCTAATTCCTATCATCCTTCCGGCTCTGCAATGGTCTTGTCGACCGAAAGGGCCTAACCCAACAAAACAAAAAAAAAACAAGATGGTTTTAGTCTATGATTTAAAAATCGTTAGATCTCCGCTGACGTCACAAATTCTAAGGGGGCATTCCAATGCATTAGCCCCTTAGAATCCGAAAACTGCAAGTTTGAAATTCCATATCTTCGAATTAAAGCATTTTTCGATGTTGTGAGTGCCCAAACCGGTATTTGCAGGCCATGGCCACCAATTTGGCTATCTCAACTCAAAACTAATGTTAAGGTGGGAGTGTCCCTTTAAATCATATAATGGGACTATAAATTCTAAAGGGGACTATCGTCAGGCCTGAAAACTGTTTTTCAGTCCTATGACGGACCTTGACATTATGATAAAAAATGTCAGGCTGCATAACGTTACAGTTTGAATCGACGTTGGGCCACTAGGATAGGAGACGGGGGTGAGATATCACACCTTTCACCCCCTGGCTGCGCCACTGAGGAGGCGTAACGTGAAAATTTTGGCCCCTATATCAAAGATCCAAAAGAGTTCATTGAACCACTTGTTACCGTGGAGGGATTGTGGGTGTCACACATTGACCGTAAGGGCGTAACCGAGCTGCACAAGTGGAAGCACACTGAATAAAGGCCACCAAATGTGTGCGACGTGTTTAAGTCAGACGGCAAGGTTGATTTTAATACTTCAATGATTCATAGTGTTGCTGTAAAATGTGTGAGTTTTTGTCAAGCAAAGCCTTTGGTTTTATTTAAAACATTTAAGTTTATCACACAGGCCCCTTCTGAGGGCTCCTATGGCACATATAAGGTGATTTTGATGTAGTGATCATAGTCAGCCCGACCTCTGGGTGAGAACGATCATTTTTTTTTAAATAAAATATTTCTGCTAGACTTCAAGGCATTTACTGTACTCAGTTAGATAAAGAATTGTCCAATTGGTATGATGATACTGTATCCAGAGTGAAGTCTCAAGTGATATAGAAGACATTGTACCATAATGGTCAAAAGTGATAGGTACAAAGTCACCCCGGTTTACGGTACCTACCTTGCATCTGCTGACCGCTGTGGTCATAGGCAGGTGCATTGATGGGACAGCAGACGACTGAAGAACAGGCTTGAGCTTGTCTCCAGGCATCATAGATTTCTTCAGGTGATATGTTGGGCTTAAATCACTCTGAGTAAAATGAAGACCACATATCCTAGACTTTTCAGGGTCAAAACTGTCCGCTCGTCCACAACGGCGCACCCAGATAGATCTCATTTCTGGGTTTTTCGGAAACCTGAATGAGGAGAAAATCCCCTCCCGACCTGGTATTTTACTATGGGAAAATGTACATTTTGCAACTGCACATTTACCATGACCAGGCATGGTAGGAATAAATACAAAGCCAACAGATGAAATTTCAAAGCTTCCTTGCTGTTATAGAGACAAATGCAAAATAATTAATCCAAGCAAAACAATTATAAATTCTTATCCATCAATCACACGTCCAATCCAAACTGATCCAAACTGTTACCTAAACGGTATATAGGGCCTTGACTGTTACATTTTAGTCACGTGACATTTGGAGCTTCTCCCTCTTCGTGGGCCTTCTACATGCTAAACGTCACATGTGAATTTCGCAAACGATCAAATCGCCCCAGGCGCCATGTAACGGAAGTTAGCCCACATTCAGCCCACATTCGGCCCAGCCCAGATTGGGGCTGCCAAATCTAGGGAAACATCTAGAAATCTAGGAAAAATCTAAAAACCGTTTTACGCCTAAACGCGAAACTGAAAAATAAGACCACCATTTGAAAGATCTCTTCACCCCGGACCTAATGATATGGTTAAATACCGGATCAATTTAACCAAAAGCATGATTTAACCAGGATGAAAATTTTCGGTCAATACGGCCCCTACGATTTTCTTCAAAATCGGCATAGTGATACTACAGGCCGAGATGATCAATCTGGCTGAAGAAACCCCTATGGGCATTGAAATCTATGGGGTAAAAACGCCCTTGGAAAGTTTTACCCACGCATTTCTGGCAAGTGTATCGCACGCATCCCCCCAATATGGGTATCATATGAAAGCCCATGAAAACCCAAACAAAATGGTGGGGTAAAATTTACCCATTACCCCATCCAGGGTAAAGTTTACCCAAAATGAAAATTTTCGGTCAATGGGGCGGCCCCTACGATTTTCTTCAAAATCGGCATGGTGATACTACAGGCCGAGATGATCAACCTGGCTAAAGAAACCCCTATGGGCATTGAAATCTATGGGGTAAAAACGCCCTTGGAAAGTTTTACCCACGCATTTCTGGCAAGTGTATCGCACGCATCCCCCCAATATGGGTATCATATGAAAGCCCATGAAAACCCAAACAAAATGGTGGGGTAAAATTTACCCATTACCCCATCCAGGGTAAAGTTTACCCAAAATGAAAATTTTCGGTCAATGGGGCGGCCCCTACGATTTTCTTCAAAATCGGCATGGTGATACTACAGGCCGAGATGATCAATCTGGCTGAAGAAACCCCTATGGGCATTGAAATCTATGGGGTAAAAACGCCCTTGGAAAGTTTTACCCACGCATTTCTGGCAAGTGTATCGCACGCATCCCCCCAATATGGGTATCATATGAAAGCCCATGAAAACCCAAACAAAATGGTGGGGTAAAATTTACCCATTACCCCATCCAGGGTGAAGTTTACACAAGATGAAAATTTTCGGTCAATAGGGCGGCCCCTACGATTTTCTTAAAAATCCGCATGGTGATACTACAGGCCGAGATGATCAATCTGGCTGAAGAAACCCCTATGGGCATTGAAATCTATGGGGTAAAAACGCCCTGGGAAAGTTTTGCCCACGCATTTCTGGCAAGTGTATCGCACGCATCCCCCCATATGGGCATCATATGAAAGCCCATGAAAACCCAAACAAAATGGTGGGGTAAAATTTACCCATTACCCCATCCAGGGTGAAGTTTACCCAACATGAAAATTTTCGATCAATGGGGCGGCCCCTACGATTTTCTTCAAAATCGGCATGGTGATACTACAGGCCGAGATGATCAATCTGGCTGAAGAAACCGGAAACCCCTATGGGCATTGAAATCTATGGGGGTAAAAACGCCCTTGGAAAGTTTTACCCACGCATTTCTGGCAAGTGTATCGCACGCATCCCCCCAATATGGGTATCATATGAAAGCCCATGAAAACCCAAACAAAATGGTGGGGTAAAATTTACCCATTACCTCATCCAGGGTAAAGTTTACCGAAGATGAAAATTTTCGGTCAATGGGGCGGCCCCTACGATTTTCTTCAAAATCGGCATGGTGATACTACAGGCCGAGATGATCAATCTGGCTGAAGAAACCCCTATGGGCATTGAAATCTATGGGGTAAAAACGCCCTTGGAAAGTTTTACCCACGCATTTCTGGCAAGTGTATCGCACGCATCCCCCCAATATGGGTATCATATGAAAGCCCATGAAAACCCAAACAAAATGGTGGGGTAAAATTTACCCATTACCCCATCCAGGGTAAAGTTTACCCAAGATGAAAATTTTCGGTCAATGGGGCGGCCCCTACGATTTTCTTCAAAATCGGCATGGTGATACTACAGGCCGAGATGATCAATCTGGCTGAAGAAACCCCTATGGGCATTGAAATCTATAGGGTAAAAACGCCCTTGGAAAGTTTTACCCACGCATTTCTGGCAAGTGTATCGCACGCATCCCCCCAATATGGCTATCATATGAAAGCTCATGAAAACCCAAACAAAATGGTGAGGTAAAATTTACCCATTACCCCAACCAGGGTAAAGTTTACCCAAGATGAAAATTTTCGGTCAATAGGGCGGCCCCTACGATTTTCTTCAAAATCGGCATGGTGATACTACAGGCCCAGATGATCAATCTGGCTGAAGAAACCCCTATGGGCATTGAAATCTATGGGGGTAAAAACGCCCTTGGAAAGTTTTACCCACGCATTTCTGGCAAGTGTATCGCACGCATCCCCCCAATATGGGTATCATATGAAAGCCCATGAAAACCCAAACAAAATGGTGGGGTAAAATTTACCCATTACCCCATGCAGGGTAAAGTTTACCCAAGATGAAAATTTTCGGTCAATGGGGCGGCCCCTACGATTTTCTTCAAAATCGGCATGGTGATACTACAGGCCGAGATGATCAATCTGGCTGAAGAAAGCCCTATGGGCATTGAAATCTATGGGGTAAAAACGCCCTTGGAAAGTTTTACCCATGCATTTCTGGCAAGTGTATCGCACGCATCCCCCCAATATGGGTATGTTGTATATTTATGTTGTTGCATGTGCAGGCTGTGGCATGGTGTTGCATGTGCTTTGCATGGTTTATGAGCCTAATGCTTGGTTCCCTGTTTTCCAGCAATGTTGTGAATAAAAGCCTTCATTGAGGTTCATCGTTCATTACAATTTTATTCACAACATAACCTGCAATCTGCATGACTCTGGCAAATCAAGATGGACAAGTATCTCAAGCCCCCAGAACTCAACATTGATCCCAAATCGCCATCTGCTGAAGATGAGTGGGATATGTGGATTACAAAGTTTGGGGATTTCTTCAACTCCATCGATCCGGCCCTAAATCCCAACAAGCTCACGCTTCTTCGGGCTTACATGTCATGTGCATGCTATAAGCTGATCAAGGCGGCCACTACCTTTGATGAGGCTGTCGAGATGCTGGAAGCAAGGTTCGTGAAACCCCACAGTGAGGTCTATGCTCGCCACAGGCTCGCTTCTCGGCGACAGCAGGCTGGGGAATCACTTGACACTTATCTCGAGGAACTGGGGCTCCTGGCATCTCAATGCAAGTTTGAAGCAGCTACAGCTGAAAAAGTAAAGGAGGATGCCATACGTGATGCCTTCATCAATGGCCTGTCATCCAGTGCTATTCGACAGCGTCTTCTGGAGAACCTTCAGCTTGATCTGAAAACAGCTGTTTCTCAGGCTCGTGCTCTGGAGATGGCCCAGCAGCAATCTGAAATGTATCATAGAAACAGCAGTGATTCGTCACCAGTGACAGTGACAGCCCATGCTCAGTCTGATCCTTCTTCTGCAGAGGAGACAGTGCCATCCGCTCGAGGAGGAGAGGAAGTGACTGCAGCAGTTGAACGTACCTGCTTCTTCTGTGGTGGTCCACATCATGCTCGAAACAAGTGTCGTGCACGCAATGCTACCTGTTCAAGCTGTGGTAGGCAGGGGCATTTTGCCTCAGTCTGCCAGATGGGGAGATGGTCCAGAAGAGCACAACCGACCAAGGACCGGAGACAAACCACAGCTTCTATGCCGATACTGTCAGCAATGCATGAAACCTCTCTTCCGAGTCTACGGTCTGCTATGACGCGTGTCACAATCAATGGTCAAGAGTTCGAAGCGCTGATCGACACTGGTAGCTCTCAGAGTTTCATCCGTACCCGGGTCGCAGAGGACGTTCACCTGAACATCGAACCCGCACATGGTACTGTGTGCATGGCCTCCACACAGCATCATGTCAAGGTGGCGGGGCAGTGTAGGGTGAGACTACGGGTTCAAGATGAATCATATGATGACTACCTGTTCTCTGTCATGGACGATCTGTGTGCACCTGTGCTACTCGGTCATGACTTTCTCAAGGCACACGAAAGCGTGTCCCTGACGTTCGGTGGCTCTCGATCCTCGCTCAGCCTGTGCTGTCTGACTCCCGCAGTGGTAACGCCACCATCCTTGTTCGGTAACTTGACGGAGGACTGTCACCCTATCCAGGCCAAGTCACGCCGCTACAGCGCCTCCGAAGTGAAGTTCATCGAGGGTGAGGTCGATCGTCTCCTAAAGGAAGGCATCATCTCTCCCAGCACCAGCCCATGGCGTGCTCAAGTTCTTGTGGTTGCATCTCCTAGCGGGAAACGTCGGATGGTTGTGGACTACGCCCAGACCATCAATCGCTTCACGGAGCTGAATGCTTACCCGCTGCCAAGAATCAACGAACAGGTTGAAAAGATCGCTCAATACTCCTACTTCAGCACGATAGACCTGACCAGTGCCTATCACCAGATCCCCATCGATCCTGAAGATCGCAAGTACACAGCTTTCGAAGCTGATGGAAGACTCTTCGAATTCCTTCGTATCCCGTTCGGGGTCACTAATGGGGTCGCCTGTTTTCAGCAGATCCTCGACGATGTCATCCGAGCTGAGAACCTGCGCGACACATTTGCATACGTCGACGACGTGACCATCTGTGGTCGCACCAGAGAAGAACATGACAGGAACCTGGAGCGCTTCATCGACGCTGCAAAGAAGTTCTCGCTGACGATCAATCAAGAGAAGAGTCAGTATGGCAAGACATCCGTCAGGATCCTGGGGCATGTGGTGGAGAACCGGACGATTCGACCTGATCCAGAGCGACTTCGAGCCTTGATGGAGCTGCCGGTGCCCGAGGACGCGAAGGCACTGAAGCGAGCTGTAGGCATGCTCTCACACTACTCCAAGTGGGTGTCGTCCTTCTCCGAGAAGCTCCGGCCGCTGATCGACGGCGACTGCTTTCCCCTGTCGCCTGACGCGGTCGCGGCGTACCAGCGGTTGAAGGAAGACATCGGTGCTGCTACCATGTCAGCGATTGACGACTACGCTACCTTTGTGGTAGAGACGGACGCGTCTGATAATGCGATCGCAGCCACTCTTACTCAGAACGACAAGCCGGTCGCCTTCTTCTCGCGAACGTTAAACCCATCAGAACGCAAACAGGCATCCGTTGAGAAGGAGGCTGCAGCCATAGTCGAGTCAATTCGAAAGTGGCGGCATCTTCTGATTGGACGCCACTTCAAGCTCATCACAGATCAACGCTCGGTCTCCTTCATGTTCGACCGCGCGAGCAAAGGACGCATCAAGAACGACAAGATACTGCGTTGGCGTCTCGAGCTGGCGTGCATGAGCTTTGAGATCGTGTATCGTCCGGGGAAGTTCAACACAGTTCCCGACATGCTATCCAGGGCTGTCTGTGGCGCAACCGCCACGGACACTGAAGATCTCATCCGATCTCTCCATGGACAACTCTGCCACCCTGGTGTAACGCGGTTGTGGCACTACCTCCGGTCGCGGAATGTGGCTTGTTCGGTGGATGATGTAAGGCGAGTCGTAACGCAGTGTAGAACCTGTGCACAGCACAAACCACGATTCGTCCATACCTCTAACACGCTTGTGAAAGCGACTAGGGTGTTTGAGCGATTGAGCGTTGACTTCAAGGGTCCCCTGCCATCAAACACTCAAAGAGCGTACATGTTTGTCGTGGTAGATGAATTCTCTCGCTTCCCGTTCGCTTTTCCTACTGCCGATACGTCTGCGGATTCGGCGATACAGTGTATGATGTCTCTGTTCACTATGTTTGGCACACCGGAGTTTGTACATTCCGATCAGGGCACCGCCTTCACGTCCTCTCGATTTAAGCAGTTTCTCCTACAGAACAGCATCGCCCAGAGCTTCTGTTCGGCATACAACGCCCCAGGCAACGGTCAAACCGAGCGTTACAACGGCATCATCTGGAAGTCTGTGTGCATGGCCTGTCACTCTGACAGCATCGACTTGAAAAACTGGGAAACCGTCCTCCCCCGGGCTCTGCACAGCGTTCGTTCGTTGCTATGCACAGCCACGAACCAGACGCCTCATGAACGATTCTTCAAACATCCTCGAAGGTCAATCAATGGTCAAGCTCTCCCTTCTTGGCTGGTGACATCAGACAGGGTACTGCTCCGTCGGTTCAACCGCGCCAGCAAGTACGAGCCTCTGGTGGATGAGGTCGATCTTCTGCACGTTACTCCCACGTACGCCAAGGTCCGACTGCCGAGTGGTCGTGAGCCGACCGTCTCTATCCGTCATCTCTCGCCCATGGGAGGTGAGAGCGCTGGGGAGCACTGCCAGATGGGTGATCATCGATCGAGTGAGACAGACGTGCCTCCTATTGACTCGCCCTGTGACCCTGTGTGTCCCGCTGAGCGTGGCGACTCGTCTGATGCTGTGTCCGTCTCTGCACCGGATGTTCATGATGTACCTCCCGAGATCTCGCCTGACTGTCCTGATACCACTGTAACGAATTTGGATCGGCCTCTGCGAAGGTCAACCAGGGTGAAGCAGGTGCCTGTTCGATTAATGGACTATCAGATGTGTAAGCCGTGACAGGCGAGCGTTTTGACATGGTGTGGCGAGGAGTTTGTCTTTGTGTTAGTGTTGCTGAGCGTAGTTTTGGCACGCTCAGTCTTGAGGGACGGTGAATGTTGTATATTTATGTTGTTGCATGTGCAGGCTGTGGCATGGTGTTGCATGTGCTTTGCATGGTTTATGAGCCTAATGCTTGGTTCCCTGTTTTCCAGCAATGTTGTGAATAAAAGCCTTCATTGAGGTTCATCGTTCATTACAGGGTATCATATGAAAGCCCATGAAAACCCAAACAAAATGGTGAGGTAAAATTTTCCCATTACCCCATCCAGGGTAAAGTTTACCCAAGATGAAAATTTTCGGTCAATAGGGCGGCCCCTACGATTTTCTTCAAAATCGGCATGGTGATACTACAGGCCCAGATGATCAATCTGGCTGAAGAAACCCCTATGGGCATTGAAATCTATGGGGTAAAAACGCCCTTGGAAAGTTTTACCCACGCATTTCTGGCAAGTGTATCGCACGCATCCCCCCAATATGGCTATCATATGAAAGCCCATGAAAACCCAAACAAAATGGTGGGGTAAAATTTACCCATTACCCCATCCAGGGTAAAGTTTACCCAAGATGAAAATTTTCGGTCAATGGGGCGGCCCCTACGATTTTCTTCAAAATCGGCATGGTGATACTACAGGCCCAGATGATCAATCTGGCTGAAGAAACCCCTATGGGCATTGAAATCTATGGGGTAAAAGCGCCCTTTGAAAGTTTTACCCACGCATTTCTGGCAAGTGTATCGCACACATCCCCCCAATGTGGGTATCATATGAAAGCCCATGAAAACCCAAACAAAATGGTTAGGTAAAATTTACCCATTACCCCATCCAGGGTAAAGTTTACCCAAGATGAAAATTTTCGGTCAATGGGGCGGCCCTACGATTTTCTTCAAAATCGGCATGGTGATACTACAGGCCCAGATGATCAATCTGGCTGAAGAAACCCCTATGGGCATTGAAATCTATGGGGTAAGAACGCCCTTGGAAAGTTTTACCCACGCATTTCTGGCAAGTGTATCGCACGCATCCCCCAATATGGGTATCATATAGAGCTTATGAAAACCCAAACAAAATGGTGGGGTAAAATTTACCCATTACCCCATCCAGGGTAAAGTTTACCCAAGATGAATCTCGGCCTGTAGTATCACCATGCCGATTTTGAAGAAAATCGTAGGGGCCGCCTCATTGACCGAAAATTTTCATCCTGGTTAAATCATGCTTTTGGTTAAATTGATCCGGTATTTAACCATATCATTAGGTCCGGGGTGAAGAGATCTTTCAAATGGTGGTCTTATTTTTCAGTTTCGTCCAGCCGTTTAGGCGTAAAACGGTTTTTAGATTTTTCCCTAGATTTCTAGATTTTTCCCTAGATTTGGCAGCCCCAATCTGGGCTGGGCCGAATGTGGGCTGAATGTGGGCTAACTTCCGTTACATGTTTTCTGACATTGTTTCCTGAATTGTGGCTATGTGTCTTCACAGGTGCAAGGAAACTGAATAACTACGGTCACAGTGGGTGTATCTACTGTGTTCAAAAGTTTTTTTTTCTGGTCATGGTTGAAGTTGAGAGAAAATGTCAGCTTTCTGTAAAGGAGGAAATGCGGGAGAAACTGTCTACATGTCGGGTGAGTGTTTCTTTTTGATTGAATGTTATTTTGACTGTTACATTTCATAAAAGTTTTCCATTGATTATACTCCAGCTGAGCGACAAGTAGATAGGAACCCGAACCTCGCAAAGTTTGTGTCTGAAGACCAGACTGGAAAACATCCATACACTACGCCGAACGCCCGTGAGACCCTCTTGCGCGGAAATTCGGCGCAAGCGATTTTGCACTGAAATTTCTGTGTGACTTGCGCCAAAAGTTAGGTTCCCATTCGTGCGAAAATTAAGCCCTTTTTATATAAAGCACAAGTGCACATCTACTGTACCGATCAAGGCTATATCAACACCTTTTTTAAACCCCACATTTGTTCTCCGGTGAATTTCAGACAAGTTGGTCTAACCGAGTAAAAATCGAGTGATTAATCCAAGGCGATTAATCACTGTATTTTTCTCAAGTTTGTCTGTCTTGGCAGATACAGCAATACATGAACAGGCCTACGAAGTACGAACACACATATTTGATCAGTATCGGACGATTGGACACTTTTAAAAGGAGATCTTTCGTGCCTCCCGGAAATTCACTGGAGAGCAGATGTGGGGTTTAAAAATAGGTGTCGATATGAACAGACAGTGTTCCGGGGCCTTGTACGGCGTACGCTCTCCCGTGTTTCAGCGTCCGAATGAGTTTTTTATTTCCACGAAAACCCAATGCCTCAATAGTCTTAGCGCACTCTAGCTTCATGCCGTGAAACAAAGCTGGTGCTGTGAGTACAGGGGCCACAAATTTGTGCCGATGTTAATATCGGCGGAGCAGTGTGTTCGAGGCTGGCGGGAGTCAGCCGTCAGCGAGGACCGGGCAGCGGAACAGCATGTGCTACGGCACATCACCATCTTCTCGGCACACGGCGCAGAGCGCCGCGGGGCACCGCTTGTCTGGGCTTGGTCTGGGCACTGCTGGCGCGCCGCGAAGTGAAGACAGCCGATTCGGTGCCGTATTGGAGCGAGTGGCCCCAGTGGCCCGCCCTCATTTGGTGCACCGAAACGGCATCCTCTCTATCCTCTCCGGGGACAGGGAGCGGCGGCGTGCTCCCGAGGAGTCGCTTGAATAGTGATTCTGAGCAGTTGCGCTCTGCGCCGCACAGTGCGATGCGAGGCCGCACAGTGAACCGCCCTAGTCAGCGAGTGGGCGTTTGAGGGCAGGGCGGCCGCCTGTTTTGCCAGGTCGTCCGCGCTCTCATTCCCCTCGATAGGTACCGCAGTGGGCAGGAACCCACTGCAGTATTGCTAACGACGCATGACGATGTCCAACAAGGTTTTCCATACCTATCTCCACCCCGAGGGTTGAGGCCTCACCTGGGCGGCCGCTTCTCCGCTGAGTTCGAGCGGCTCACCAGTTCGAGCACGACTGGGGCGGGGACGTGTCGTCCCGAAACCTCTCCAGACTCCAGAGCCGCCCGCGAGGCGAATCTGCTGCTAGATTGACCAGCGTACCGCATTAATTCGGTGATCGTATTTCGCCAAAAGATTATGCGACCGCCCTGCGCCGAAAAATTCGTCCGCCGCCATGCGCTGAATTCGGCGCATGCGAAGTTACGCCGGACGTGCGCTGAAATTTTTGGCGCAATCCCGCCACTTCGCCGGACATATTCGGCATAACGTGTATTTTTTCCAGTCTGGTCTGAAGACCATTTGACAGTTGTCCATCTGATACCCTAGAATAAGCTTATATCTTTTTTTTTAATGTTTCCCAGTTTGAGAGAGGAATGGAAAGTTTTTCCAACACTCCTTTGGTTAACATGCAAATTATATAGGTACCTATGTACAGTGGAATCCGCTTAATAAATCCACCTTGGTGACAAGGTGTTTTGGATTTATTAAGCTGTGGCTTTATTAACGGGTGTCAGCTATTTTCACTTAAAAAAGCATGTGTCACAGGCACAGCTGCACGTTTTGTTCCCTACGCATAACAAGCGTACCTATGGCTAAGATTTCTCATTGCCTTGCTTATTACAATGAAAGTGACCAGGGGCTCCGCCACTGGTGGGGTCCCGGGGGCCCGGACCCCAAATAATTGACGTTCGTAATGCAGCCTAATGTATAAAGGCAGGTTTTAGGGTTGGACATGCCCCCGAACCTGCGACCGTAGACCGTAGTGCGGGGGCATGCCCCTGAAACTTGAAAGTGACCAGCGCACACTGCTAAGCTGGCGCAGCGATTAAGTCAACATATCCATCCACGACCTCTCCCCGTCATGCCTGCTATGCCAACGAGCATGCAGGCAGTCGAGGGTCCCTGCTTTGCGCGAACATTTTTCTCAAATGCACAGTAATTGCGCTCTTGATAGCCCTGAACTCCTTCTGTTTTTAGAACTCCAACTGCTGCAGACCGCCGCGCTGCTCTAGCGCAGTTCTTTAGGAGCGGGTAGGATGCCACATTTTGAATGGAGAAACGTTACTGCGGACTTGAGAACTTCCAAGTGGCTTTATTAAGCGGAGTACGTGGATTTATTAACCCTCGCCGGCACAGGCCATTTTGCGTCCTTCGACGGCACAGGGGGGGGGGGGGGGTTGGTACGACCCCCCTCGCGTTTGGCCCCTGATCGAGCTAGAGCTTCGCGGAAAAAACGAGCGTGTTGCCCGTCACGAGACGAAGCCGATGATACCCAATTTTAAGGTCCTAGGTCATCGGGTGACCTTCCAGGTCAGGTCAATGACCCGAAAACCTGGAAAATCGGGACCTGTTAGAAAGTCGTAAATTGTGGCTGCTATGTGGTTTTCCGGGGTGCTGATTTCCGGGGTGCTGATCACGAATATCGTGTTAGTTTTGATCAGAGATGATGTCTTTAAGCATTTAGACCAGGTCGGGTCAGGTCAGGTCAGGTCAACCGGTAGGGGTTGTGACGGGTATTCGTAATACGTGTCAACCGCCTCTGACAGCTTCGTAACATGTTACGAAGGCACCAAAACTACTTCGTAAATGTTCAAATGGTTGCCAAATTCGAATTCAGCTCCAAAAACTAGCCTAGAAACATGTAAAACTCGAAAAAGTGAACCGAGGTCACCCGAGGTCACCAATGGTCAATGACCTGACCTGACCTTCAGGTGACCTTAACACCCACCCTAATGTATGGGAGCGACATCAAATCACATGTTTGAACGTTTGAAACCACAAAAAGCTTGCAAACGCGCGGCTAATGTTAGCCGACATACGCCGAATCGCGATTCCGGCCAAACATGGTCTCGGAAAAGAGGTCACAGGTCAAAGGTCATAAAATTGGGGTCAGGGTCATACAATTTTCAGGGTAGGTGTAAAATTGATCAATGCGAGGGTACTGAAAGTTTCGTCGCGATCGGCCGCTTTTTACGCGAGTTATTCGCGAAAAACCTTAGGGGGGGGGGGTTGCATCACCCCCCCCCTGTGCCGGCGAGGGTTAAGCGGATTTGTTAACTATAGGCATCTAGGGGGAAAATCCGTGAACAGCTCAAGCGGCCACAATAGGCGGCTGGATTTAGTGTCCGTGGATTTATTAAGCGGATTCCACTGTATTACAAATAGTTTGCAGTTCTTAACTGAAAATGTCCAACTATTTCCATTTGCCATCATAACTATTCAAGAAATTGTGAATATTTGAGTGTAAGATTACCCAAAGTAATTGCATTCTTACTTTGTGTCACATATTTATATTGTCACATATTTATATTATGTTGGTGCCTATCTACTTTGAACACATTCAGTGTATCTTTATCTCTGTTTTGCCAGTTCTGTTATTTGTAACATTATGAAGTTGCTCATACTTCGCTACTCGCTAGTCATGCTCTTCCATTGTTCATTCAGGATCTGCTGCATCCATCAGTGACAGAAGATTGCTCTCCATCAGACCAAGCTATGCAGTCTTTAAAACAAGAAAGGTATGTCCATTGTCTAATGTCTGATATTGTATCCAATCCACCTATCAATTCACCCGGCCCAATCTTACCAAATGCTGTGAATGCGCATTCACGGCATTTGGTAACATTCAGAACTATTCCACCTTCACTTATTCATTCGTTCAGGCAACATTCATAATCATTGACGCTATCAAAATCATTGGACAAGATTAGCTGGATGTAATAAAAAGGATATCTTTGATATCAGTGCCGTAAACTCCGGCCAGTGCTGCCAAATCCTATTTACGGCATTGGTAAGATTGGGCCCAGGTGGAGGGATGGGGACTGGGGGGAGGGGGGGGGGTTAGTCATACCCGCCAGTTTTTTTTCGTCTGTTAAGAAAACGCCGACGCGCAGTCCCACGAAATTGGTATATTTAATAATAAATTAATATCAGATCGTGTGTAGTTTTTTATTTACCTCTGGTAACAGTTTACATAAGGTCAGGTCACCAGGTCAATTTAAGTGATTATGCCTCTAAAAAAGTTTCTGTCTCTGTGATTCCTACAGTTTATTTCCCAGAACTTTGAAACACGAGGCATTGCACGAGGATTCATGACCAACGAGTTGTGTATCTCAAATTATTAATATCAATGACCTTAGGTCCAGTGGCGGCGGAACACCTTCAGTTAGGGGGAGGGGGAGGCACTGCCTACTTTTGGTCCCATTCTTTCCATGCAACGCCCATAGGGCTAATGTTACCGCTCCCCCCCCCCTGAGGTTTTTCGCAAATAGCGGGAAAACCGCGGCGCTACCGAAATTTGGTACGACTAGGTATTCTCTCATCAATTTTACACATGGGATGCAAGTTTGAACCTCGTAACTTTTAAGGTCAGGTCAGTAGGTCACTTTGAATGACCCAACCTCAAGTCACTTTTTTGCAACTTTGTCACCGTGCCAGAGCTACAGTAGGTGTCGGAGGCCTTTGAAAGTTGCAGGATGTTATTAGGTCACTATTCATTTCTAATATGAATGACAAGCTAATTCGGCCATGTCTACATGTATACTGTATTGTATAACTGATTTCATGGGACTTCTGCAATTAACTGTTTGCAGGTCATTGTGGGCATTAGATTTGGCAGGATTTACTTGGCATGATTAACGCACGAAAGAAGCACGTGTGGAAAAGTAATGCCTAAGAATCTGTTCAGCGTTCCTGAATCGGAGACGATGCAGCTTGTTCGGCTCGCTCCAACTCCGTCTCCTGACCTATTGTTACAAATGGGCTGGCTCGCTTCGACTCCGACTTGGAAACCCGTGAAATATTGTCTGGAATTGCCACTAATAGTCAGTAGGTATAGATTGCATATCTAGTTATTTTCCGGTAGTGCCTTTATCCCTGATTTATTTCACAGGGAGCCGTCGAGTCCGAAAGCAGAGCGGATATCGGAGATTTACGACGCCTCGTCAGCCGACACAATAATTACTAAAGGTAAGCTGTTTTATCGCAAATTGATGGCGAGATATTGGCATTGATGGCGATATTTTGGCATTTGTGTTACAACAGAAAAAAAGACTGCGTTGTCGGGTCTACTTGGGGGCTACTGTCAGATACGAATAGTTTCTAAATAATTTCCAGACACCTTTTAGGCCTTCAATGGGGTGTGCAAAACTATTTGCTGCTCTTCCGAAGCAATCTGGAAAGTCACAAAACAGAGGCTTTAAAGGGACAGTATCACCATTTTGATGAAATTTGACATTGCATAGGCCCCACCTTTCTGGTCCGGGAACTGAAGACCGATCCTCGAAGCTCCACACCGTTATCCCGCTATCGCCGCTCAAAGTACGAAAGGTGTACCACACTTTGAATCGTGCTTCACTATCTTCACTGTTTAAATGTTTGCGCCGTTTTGAATTGACCGCCAGTAATAAAACTTTTACCCTGGTCATTTCATCAAATTTTATAAAGCCAAAACGTTTTTCGCACTTATTCATCACCGTTAAATTCATTAAATAGTCGTAGGCAATTTCCGCTGTTTCCTTCGGATTCTAGCGGCTGAACAAAGGAATTCCTCCAGCTTGAATCACAATCTCCCTCCAATGTATGACGTTTATCACGTGATTGTCACGTGATATTTTCTCCCATTGTCAATTGTCACGTCCAATTGTCACTCCCTCCAATTGTCACGTTATATTTTTATAGGCAATACCTAAGGCTACCTCTCCCTAAGGACAACTCAATCAGAAGAACGACCGCGTAAGCGTAGCGTCAATAATGTATTAGCTGCGCCAGTTCTGTAGTAATTTTGCATGCTTCCAAACTGGCGGCCATGCTTGTATAGTGGTGGTTCGCTCATGAAAATGAATCATGAAAATGAAATGTGGTTGCAATATTTTTCACCGAGTTCGGTCCTCAAACTATGTTTTTCTGATTCAGAAAAATAAGAAATGCTAGTAAAAAAAAATCAGCTCCATACATGGATTTTTTTTTCGATGATACTGTCCCTTTAATCTCATCCCATGTTCCAGTAGGTATATCATCTGCCGCATGTCATTTTTTTTGCATTTTAGTTGCGTCTTTTTACATTTTCAGTTCACTTTCTACCTTTTTTTTACTCATTTATTTCACCTTGTTATACCAATTCTCTAACTTTTGAAGGTGGGAGGTTCTTTTTAAATACGTTGGTGATATGAGTGCAGTCCATTGCGGGCCATAACTGTGAACTCTGAACGTTCTGTCTTCGACAGATGACGACGACTGGGACGTCAAGTGGAGGGTGGACGTACCCGACCGTGACCCTCTCGAGTTGACACCCGACACTGAGGTGAGGACCCGTGTGCCTTTGTGACGCCACCTCGCTTCACATTAGCGTTTTGTTCAATTCTGCTTACCGGGTTAGTGCATGTGTATGTCTGTGCAGCTTAGGCCTGCTGTCAGTACTCTATTTTAGAAAGATTTGACGGAATTTCGGGTTGCTTTCTCCATGACGATCTAGGCGACGGTTGAAATGCAGAAGGGTTGCCCTGATTGGGGTCTTCCTGTGACGCCCCCCCCCCGTCTCCTTAAACTGTTTGCACCAACGCTTGATAGTGAGAAGTGGTACCGTAAAGTGTCAGGCAACGTCCATCTGTGAGTTGCCACCATGGGGCATGCCAAAAGCGCGAATACGCACCTCTAGACTTAAAAGCAAGGGCTCCGCCACGGACTTTTGGTTGGGGGGGGGGGACGATCTGCTCTTTGCCCATCGCCCTAGTGTCTCCTGTAAACCTAGGGTACCCCCAAATCCAGTTTTCTTATCGGATTTAGGCCACTTGTTTTTAGTCATAGCCCTGATACGATGATTTTTTAACTAAAAAAAAAAGAAATGAAATAGAGAAATGGTAGGCCACCTGACCCATGCAATATTACCCAATATTAGATTGTACCTTCATCATATTGACACACCAGACAGAAAAAAAACTTGAAAAATAAACTTCAATTTTTAATGGTATCTAGCTCATAGTTTTGCGCTGAATCTGAATCCATTTTTAGCATTTGGCGAAGGTTGAGTCAGGTTAGGTGAGATCAACAAGTGCGTGTCCCGCGGGCTAGCCAAAGTAGGTGTCAACCATGAACCACCACAGACAGCTTCGTAGGTAACATGTTGCATTGGTACCAAAACTACTTCTTAATGTTCAAATGGATGCTTAACCCGCGCCCCGTTGGGCTCTGCCGAGCAACGCGCCCCGTTGGGGGGGGGGCCATTTTGGCCCCCCCCCTAAGATCTCGAGAACCACGCAACCTAGCGACAAGCCGCAAACGGTGTTGGATAGCCCTATCAGGGAACTACCTTGTGACCCAATTTTATTGACCTAGGTCAAACCGATGACGTCACAGGTCAGGTCAAAGGTCCAATTTTCACCGTTTACAGGCATTTCAAGAAATGCGTTTTAAAATCGAGTAAAAAGCATTTCATTGAAAATCATCGATGGGGAAATGTTCTTCAAACACATATTTTGCTAGTTGAGGTCACTGATACCAGGTCAGGTCACAGAGGTCAGGTCACTGGGGGGTCACAATATGAAAGTGTCGTGTGATACATGTTTTATGGTCCATTTTACATGACAAATGCGATTATGTGGGTCAGGCAGCCTTTGGGGCCAGCTTAGGTCACGTTTTGGTCAAGGTCAGGTCAAGGTCAGGTCAAGGTCAGGTCAAATTAGGTCAAATTTCAAAGTTAATATTTTTGCATAAAATGGGTATCGAATCAACGCAGCTCGTCACGGGGAGTTCAATGGTGGTCTTTGTTTTGCCGTACGAGGTCTAGAATCGCTAAAAATTGAGTTCAAAAATTTGACGTCATCATTTTTGAACAGTTTTTTCGCTATAACTTGGCCAAAAAACAAGATATCGATCTGAAATTTGGTATATATATAGAAGAGCGCAGGGACTATCACATATATTCCGGTTTTTTCGAAATTCGGAAAACTTCTGGATTTTTTTTTAGTTTTTCTAAAAAAAATCAATTTTTTGAAATTTTTTGGGTCAAAAACCCAAAATTTCGAAAATCCGAGATAGCAGTTTTGTAGCGCCGCTTTTTGTCTACTAGACCATATAAAGAACTTTGAAATTGCTTCATAACTGTAGATTTGGTGAGCGTTTAAATATTGCATGTTTTTTGCTCATTTTTGCTCGAACATGACCTCAGTTTGACCTCAATAACTCCTGACCTAAGGTGACCTAAGACTTGAAATTTGGTGTGAAGGTGTCAAATTGATGCCCGGGAAGGTACTGAAAATTTGGCGGCGCTGCGCGCCGCCGTTTTCTTGCTATTCAGGAAAAACCACAGGGGGGGGGGCCAAAATGGCCCCCCCCCAACGGGGCGAGGGTTAATTCGACATCATCTCCAAAAAGTTTCCTAGTAACATGCCTAACTCGAAAAAGTGAACCAAATTCATCTAACGGTAATGACCTTGACCTGATACTCACGTGAACTTGACACCTACCATAATTGCATGTGTCTACCGTCATTTCAACATGTTGGCTCGGTTTTATGACATAACAAGTCTGGAAACGTATAGATAATGTGCGCTAACATACAACGAATCGGTGTTTCGGCCTGACATGGTCTGGAGAAATAGGCCACAGGCCCAAAAGTCATGGCCCATGGGGGTTAGGATCATGAAATTTTCAGAGGATGTGTAAAGTTCCCCGGAAATAGCCAATAGGTACTAAAAGTTTCGTCACGATAAACCACTTATTACGCGAGTTACTTGCGAAAAACTGAGGGGTGGGTGTGGGTCAATCCGACCCACCATAAGAATGAGGGTTAACCTCTCAAACACTGGAAACAAACAGCTTCTCTCATCCTACAGTTCTGCGATATTCTTATTTGACCGATGGAAGTTTCCTCTAAAAGAACGAACGCGTTTACCCGAAAGAATTATCTCCGTATTGAGCGTTTAATTGATTGAGAGATACTTATCTGATATAAATACCTACTGGATTACCTACTGGATATACCTACTGGATTCATTATCGGGATAGGCCGAATGATTGCGAACATTCGTCAGTACACTGGCGGATCCAAGGGGGGGGGGGGGGCATTTGGGGCATATGCCCCCCCCCCCCGGACAGAAGCCGGGGGGGGGGCATTCAATACAAGTATGCCCCCCCATTCAGAATTACACTTCTTACGCCTATAACGAGGAACTAAATAAAATGGATTAGAAAGCCTTCCTAGTAACTACTTTTGTGATCAGAGTCGTTTTAGTAACCTCAATTTAGTTGTCATTGCCTTTATTTTGTCTAAAACTATGTTGCTTCTTACCACAGGGGAGCAATGCCGCTTCAACCCTATTGACCGTATTGTCTAACGACGGCAGTCATATTGCGCAAACCAGGAATCGGCCGCCGCCTATGCTTGGGAATAGGGACGGTTAGAATACGGTTTACCTGTATAGCCGCAGCCAGCGCAGCGTAACCGGGGGGAGGGGGCACAAGGGGCGCGTGCCGCCTCATTAGATGCATGGTGCCCTATGGGCCCGAGAGGCCCTGCAAAGCCAATAGGCCGCTCAGGGTTAAAGCGTGCCTTATTTCGAATGAGATAAGACCCACAGGACTCGTGAGAGCACCTCACGGAGTCACGGGCTCCTGAGTCGCCACACATCACACATCTCCATAAGGGCCCCACTGCGGCTTCTGAGGGCCCTGTGCTCGCCTCTGAGTGCCCTTGCTGACCTATTAAGCGTCAGCTCTAATTAGGGTCCTGACCCATACCCGCATGGAGCGGCTTCACACCAGTGTCTCTGATGGCCCATAACGGCTCCTGTGAGGGCCTCACACCGGCGCCTCTGAGGGCACAACACCGCCAATCTGAGGGACTAACACCAATATTTCAAGGCCCTACATCGGCGGCGGCTCTGAGGGCCCCACACTGGCGCCTCTGAAGGTCTTACACAAGCGCATCTGACGGCTACCTATACCTGTAACCAGGGCTGCGGAGTCGGAGTCGGAGTCGGAGTCGGTCGGAGTCGACAGTTGTGACCGGAGTCGGAGTCGGAGTCGGAGTCGGAGTCACCGAAAATCTGTCGACTCCGCAGCCCTGCCAGGTGTGCGGAGTCGGAGTCGGGAGTTGGAGTCGATCGGAGTCGACATTTCTGCCCGAAGTCGGAGTCGGAGTCGGAGTTGGTTTTTGAAAGCCGGAGTCGGAGTCGGAGTCGGAGTCGCCGTAAATCCATCGACTCCGCAGCCCTGCCTGTAACTCTGTGGGCCCCACACTGGTGACTCTGAGGCCTCCCAGCGACGCCTGAGAGTATCACGCCTGTCTCCAGGATCCCACAGGGCTCCTGAAGGCCTCTACCGACCCCTTGCTGGCCTCTCGAAGACCCCTTGCCCCCATGCCTGTGTCTCTGAGGAGTGAGACTGAGGACCCCCACAACGGTGCCTTTGAAAAATGAAAGTCCACCGGCGACTGTAAGGGCCCTACACCGCCACCTCTGAGACACCAGTGGCTATTTAGGCCCCACATCCACGAATCTGAGGGTCCCACACCGGCGCCTCTGGGGCCCCACACCGGTGCCTCTGGCACACAGCCACCGGTAACTCTGTAGGTCCTACACCGGTGACTCTCGAGGGCCCAGCCGGCGTCTGAGAGTCGGCCCATGCTGATCTCTAAGGACTCCACAGGGCTCCTGAAGATAGTGCCGGCCCTCACTTGCCGGCCTGTGAAGACTCGTTCGTTGTTGACATCATATGGCCCGTTACCCGCCTCTGAGGGCACTTTGCCGGTCTCTGAGAGGCCCTACCGGGTTATCAAGCATTCGCACCAACAACTCCAAGGCCCCCACACAGTCATCTGTGAGGGGTGTTGGCTCACCGCCATTCTAGTGTCTAAAAGATCACCACAACGGCGTCCATGTGAGGGCCTCACACCAGCACCTCTGAGGGTCCACACCGGCTCCTTTGTGGTTCCTGCACCAGTGCCTCTGAGGGCAGGGGCGTAACTTTGTATACTTTTGAGGGTGCAGTTGCACCCCCAAAGTTAAATTATGCACCCTCAATGCTTATGTTGCACCCCCAATGTCTCATTCCTTTATTGGCACTAAGAATTATAAAATACACAAGGTTCTTTGTTTCAAATACCTACATAGCAAGAAAATTCAATGTAAAATGGTGAACTAAAACAAGTGCACTAATCATATTTTGTCAGTGGTTACAATTGTATACCTCACTGAGCCACTTGAGTTCACTGGAGTTAAGTTTTATTGATTGCTATTATTTTCATTGCAAAATGCTAGTACCACATATGGTGCATGGAGCGGAGCATCGCCAAATTCAGGTGAA